TAGTAATTGATTATAATCCATTGAAAATGGATTGTAATTCTAAAGTTTAAAATTTTTTATGCCAATATAATCCATTATAAACGATTATAATCGATTATAATGGATGTTTTTGTGATTTTAATCATAAAAACTAAAAGTTTTTCCAAATTGTCCCATTTGCTATTTAGTGCAGTTGCTACGTGTTTTGTTTCATAAAACGTTACGTTTCACATTAAAATTTATATTTTCTTTGTCTATTATTTTTCATTTCATCTCAGTTTACCCCCCTCTCTTACTTTAACCCCCCCCCAAGTTTAACCCCCTTCGCTGCCAGTTTACCAGTTGAAGAGGAGGTAGAAAAAACTTAAGGAGGTGACGTTGAGATATGAAATTTAGTAAAAGACTTAGCAAAAATTTCTCAATTTTCTTTCAAAACTTGCAAAATTTCTGCAAAAATGATCGAGCTCAGCTCTAAGAATAAAATCGTTAATATTCGATTATAATGGAATATATTGGATTTTGATATCAAAAATAATCAATTATAATGGTAAAAATGTTCGGTTTCTTTGCCAAAAACAATGCAATATAATCGATTATAAGGGTTTATAATGGATCAATTTTTTCAAAAAAAAAACGATTATAATGGCATTATAACCAATTTTATGGTCTGAATTTTACATTTTTAATAGATTATGATGGATTATTTTTGTCTAGGGAATCCATTATAATTGATCAAAATCCATGGGCACTCGGTGCGGGAAGCAGTAAAGAGGTCGCGATTAAAGATATACACTTCATATTTCTCCACATCTTTTTCCTCAATTATTACTCTGAGGCTTTCGTGTACCGAATCAGTGTTGTAGCATTACCGAAATTGCTTTTGTTTCGACCAAAATTTGTTCTTTTTTCCTACAAAAATATTTTTAAATCAAAACTTCATAAAGTTTCAGTAACGTTGATTTTAAGGGGGCCCTAATTGACAGAAAGAGTAAACAACGTTTGTCTTTATTTGTACCCGTTTAAAAAAACTGAGATGGAGAGCTGGTACAGAAGCCACTGGGGGTTTTTTCGATTATGACCCCGAAAACAATAGGATAAACTGAAAATGAAAACTTTTCTTGAACGACAAAAAAACCATTTGGCCGCCTTTCAATTAATTTTGTGCTCAGAAATTGGCAAAAATTGCAACAAAAGTCAGTTTGAGGGTCAATAAACTAAAAATGGTTTGTTTTCACCAGTTTCATATTGATATGGTGCCTTTCCTTGCAACAGTGTCCCGTTTTTATAACAAAAATTCTCATTTCATTTTTTCATAACTTAAAAGAGGGACACAAAAACCAACACTGGCCCTCATTTTGCCTCTATTTGCCCTTTTCCAAAATTTTCTACGTTAAATTTTGAAAATCTCAGAATATGCCCAGTGCAAGATAGGTTTTTATCACCATAAGATTGCTCGTATCAGGGCGGGTGAAGCTCTTAATGTTCCGACTGCCTTCTAAGGTCTATGGAACTGTTTTAACATGAAAAATTAAGTGTAGAAAAATGAAATATATTTTTTGGACATATGATATTTTGCGAAAATCATAACCACACACGCCATATAGAAACAAAATGATAGATTTTTCTCCTAGTAACCAAACAATTATGACAACTAAGCTTCCGTCTGGAACCAGTTCAAAACAAGTATTCAATATTTCCAATTGTTTTCTTGATAACTATCACTGTAAAATACTTAGAACTAACCAATCATGATCCATGACTAAAACTTCTTGAAAAATGTAAGGCTGAAACTATTTGTAGTTTCAGCCAGAAAAAAAAAGTTAACTTAGAAAACAATTGCTCTTTCTTGCTTCTAACCTCGCACCAAAACCAGTATATACTGGACTTAATGAGAGTAGGAAATGTAAGAGTAAGGTTAGGATCGATATTAGACTAAGAGGTTGCACAAATCTATCCTCCAAATCAATGATCCCGTCCGACAGAAGTATATTTTTTGCCCCCTCACAGTTAATTTCCCTCTTGAAGACCCCGCTCATTCTTTATACTGAATGAATTTATCCAACCAATCGAATTCCCCCAATTTAAAAAAATATTCACAGTATTATGTTTAATCAGAGATTATAAAAAAATGATCCAAAACACAAACCACGCGTTTCCGTCACAACTGAGAAAGTTAAAATCATCCACCCACTAGAAGTCCCTTGGCCACTCTTAATTACTAAAAATGTCATTAGAAGGCTTGGAAAACTTTTATGAAACTCACCCACAATTCAAACTTTCTTCTCCAATGGAATTTTTTGGAAACCGACCCTCAGTAGGTCTGATTTTATAAGTCTCACTAATAATTTCCAATTCTTCACTCACCATTTTTACACGTGTGTTTCACCTTTTCTTTTGAAAATTCACCAGTTATTTCACTGAGTAATAACGAAAATATTAATTCAAAATAAAAACGAAAACTTGAGAAAATTTTTGCTTTGAATTGCTAAATGTTTGTTTTAAGTTTATATAATGCAATAAAAATGACACACAGCATTGAGTTAATAACAATGCCGTAATTATACAAAGTACTAAATTGATATTGAGTTACAAATGAGATAAGCTTATCTTTTTATGTGCTCAAACTAATCAATGTAGTTTACTCACACCACCAAACCAACCATGTACAGGAAAGCCCCACGGTACTCAATATAGATTGAACCCACGTTAAACTGTATAAAAAATTCTTTTGATTTCATTGATTTAAAAATTTATTGGGACCACATGAAACGTAAAAGCACACAAAGAATAACACAGACCAAAAACAGTCCGTTTTTGAGGAAACGACACAACCAAATAACAAGAGAGAAATTACCTGATATAAAGAATAAAAGTCCCTTGGCCAGTATATGCTTTCCCCTGGCCTCACTCACCAGAGACTAAGAAATCTTTCACATTAAGTATAAAGATATAAGTGCACGCAAACGAGCAGCAAGCAAACGAGCAGCAAAATGGAGATGAAAACTGGACGACATTTCGACTCTTCAACGGCAAATCTATTGGATTTGCTTGCGGCAGTCACAACCCTCACAGGATACAAACTATGGAACCAACATCGCAGTGAAGGTACCCATTGAACAAAAACAACGGCCAATCCGATATTAAATTCAGAAATGCGGATCCTAGTTACTTAGCGCTTCACTCAGAGAAGTCGTATACTATCTCACCATTTTTTAAAGAATATACGCAAGCTCTTTTCTCCCCACGAGCAACTGTTTTTCTTCTCTCTCTACGATGACATTTATTTTGCAATAAGAACAACTGTGCCTCTTCTCTCTTCACTCTTTTTAAAAAATCTACTCAATGAAGAATTAAAAATTTTCTCCATCCATCCTTTACAAGAACAAACTTAATTCTTAAAAACTTGCAAATCCCGGATGGGTGGAACCAGTTCAAAGCAAGTATTTAATATATCAAATAACAATCTTGATAACTATTACTCTAAAATACTTAGAACTAACCAATCATAATCCTAGTCTAAAACTTACAATAAATTGTAAGGCTGAAACTATTTATAGTTTCGGCCAGAAAAGAATAAATTTAACTCAGCAAACAATTGTTTTTTCTTGATAATAACCTCGCAAAAATACCAGTATATAATACATTTATTGAGACTAGGAATTAGTAGAGTATGATTAATATCGGTATTAGACTAAAAAGTTGCACGAAACTATCCGGTCGAAAATAAGATAGCGTGACAAAGAGGCGGGGTACTTTATCTAAAATTACTCTATGAGTGAGCCACCCCGGACTTAAACTCACTTCGACCAGTTTGGAGCGATTTCTAAAACAGATTAAATCTGCGCTTACCCGTTGATAGCGCAAAATATATCGCGCGTTAATTGTCCCATATTGGCCAAAATGGCAATCTTTAAACCCCCATAGCTTCACGAAAAATGATCACAGGTGAAATATTTCTTCAATTTTAAGCTCAAGACAATACCTTTTGAATGATATATAAAATCTCCTCAAAATTGGCTAGTTAAAAAGTCGAAAGTTGTCTGAAGAAAAAACCCACCCCGAGCACAAATATTCCGTTACTTTCGTTACGAAAGTCGGAACAACAAAAAATTTAATTCACTCGATTAGTAGAGTTATTATATGAAGTAGACTAGTGAAGAATATATCATTTATCACATAAAAAGCATATGCGATCTCTAAAGTCTCATTATAGTATCATTCATTTGAATCTGCATTTGAGTCACTATTTGAATCCGCAGAGGAAAATTTGTCGCCTTATCTTGCTAATCGACGCAGTATTACTGTAATATTTAACAATTTAAAATCAAGGAAGTTGAAAAAATTTTATTGTCGAACATTCATTACAGTGAAGTTATTATGAATATGATTAATGGTATTGAAACAAGTTACAGGATGGTAAGTACATGGCTAACCTTTTTTTACTCTCATGCAACAGATGAGGGGTTTGAACTTAAGAAAAACTGTAACTGAAGCCGGTTTGCTAACCCAGCACACCACATCACATAATTTCCAGCATAATATCCATGAAATCGTGACAAAATTAGTTAGTTTTCAGAAAAAATAGATATTGTAAAGCTTACTAACAAAATTATTAATTTTTCAGATTAATCAATTTTTCAAGTTATGCAGCGCATATAATTTGGACAAAATGAACACAACTTAAAACTTTACACGCGTTTTTCTCACATTGGGTTGAGCTTAGACAAAAATGATGAGAACTAAAGGACAGTTCACTTAAATTTAAATACTTGTCTTTATGAAAATTAAAATTTTATCGTGAAAAAATGCAATTTTAACAGATGGCTTTTCGCTAAACTATTCACCGTACTGGATTGTGCAATCACAAAATAGTTTCCCATGAATTGCACTAATTTTGGCTGAAAAGCATTCAGTTTTAGTGTGATTTGAATGGTGATTTTTTATATGAGATGGGTGAATGATCAAGAAAATGCATTCAAATAAACTTGCGTGGTCAAGATTTATTTAAAGGGTGGAAATTATGTGTCATTTTTAGATCATTTTTGTTATTGACCATACGCACAATTCAGAAAAAAGGACAGCAAACTTCAGAAACAATTCAATGAGAGCAAAAATGTATTCAATTTTGCTCAACTTCGAAACTTGGTTTTCTTCCAAAGAAGCCCTGCCACCACCGCCGTGTCCGTCTATATATATTTTGAGACTTTCCACATATCCAGGGTTGATCAGCGCATATCACATTGTTTTTGAACCATGAAAATGTGATGAAAGACCCAGGGTTGTCATATGGAACTTTTGGCGTCCAGTGATGGCCAGCTTTCAGTATATAGGGAATTCCCGATCTTTGCATATGAAAACCAGTAAACTGATCATCTCGTTTCAGTTTCCCAGTACCAAATCCAATTTTCATGATTATGTTTGCCTCACACTCCAAAGAGTAATAGGCCATAATATAATTCAATTGTTTTCCCTCTTCTGAGTAGTCAGTAATTTTTTTGTAATATTCTGTTGGTGTAAGCATGGCCTCCTGATATCCATAACGGAAATAGTGACAATATTGACCATCTCAAAAAGACGAGTAAAAATAGCAAAATAGATCTAAAAATATCTGAGCTTTTTATCAAAAAAACAGTGTTCTTGCGCGATATTTGCAGAATCGAGGATTGAATTGTTTTTTTTTTCGAAGATATTTTGAAATAAAAAGCAAATTATCTCAAAAAATTTTTTGATTTTTTTTGTACTCCCAACCTCTGAAATAAAATTCTAATAGAACAATTTTAAGCTTTGATTTGATTTCCGTTTTTTTACACAAGTCGGGGTTTGATCTTGGAAAATTTATCGGCTTAGCTTTGCATTTTGCTTTTTAGGTTGAAATAACTGATTGGATTAGTATAGTTTTTTATCCCGTTTAGTGGTATAGATCTATTTCACGGTGAATGCAGCAGCCATCGCGATATACAAATAGGTTGTGTTTCCTGATGATAGGCTCAAAAAATTTTCGACATTGCCTCTTGGCTGATATTTTTACGTTTGTTATTTGTCTGATGGCATAGTTGTCAAACCTAAATCGGGAAGCAATCTGTTCAAAGTTTCAAGTTAGTTTTTTCAAGTTTTCATTTTCATTTTGGGAAAGTCTATCGTAACATACAATGTCAAATGCAGCAGTGCTTCTTTTTAATCCTGTTTTTTGTCTATTTAAATTTTATCTAAAGGCTTTCAGAAGGAAACAAAGCTCTAGATATAGTTTTGGTCTACCTCTTCGAAAAAATCATTCGACGAAATATCTTTCGAAAATGTTTTCTAGGTTAAATAAATTTGATCAAAATATGTTAGGAAAAAAGTTGCCAGAGAAAAACTTGCAAGTTTGGGTTCCTTATTGTTTGGGTTCCAGAGGATTGGATACTTTTATTATATGCTTTAAAAACTCCAACTTCAGCTAAAAGATTCAATTTTAAACCCAACCTGAGAATGAAATTTCGTTACATTGTTTTCTTCATCTTATTTTGTAAGGTGTTTGAATTTCAAAATTTTCCATTGTTGGCATAATTACAACAAAAAATGCCCACTACGTAAAATTTATTGTATTGATGCAATTCAATAGAATTGGATAATACAGAGCATGAAGCGAACTGCTGTACCCTGTATTTGAACAAGCATGCAACGATATTTCCAAAACATGGGAAATTATAATTTATTTTTTCAGAAAACTGAAAACAAACTTAACGGCAAAAATTTAAAGAAAATTACCGAAAAATCGAATAAAAAATATAGTAGCATCGTTGAGCACTTGGTATGAAAGTTGGCAAGGCTTGAGTTTTTGGCTTTCTAGCAAAAAAAATTCGGACACGATTATTAATTTGATTTTGAAAAAAAAAAGCGCAAATACCCGTATTTTTCCTCTCCACATATATTTGTGTTGAGTTTTAGTTTTAAGATTCAGGTCACCGCTTCACTTTTTACCCCTTACCCCAACCTTTTTGTTGTTCCAAAGAAGTGATAAGAGTGGCTGATTTCTGATTTCTGTTTTTTTTTTTGGTTTAAGTGGGGGTTGGATCTTGGAAGATTTATCGGTTTAGCAATGACTTATTTCAAAAAAGGCGAGTCATGTTTCCGTTTTTCTATTATTGAGTAGGCGGTAAAAATAATTGAATTGCTGCAACTGAATCAACCTAATTGATACAGAACCTCCCGCACCGGAGTACCATGGATAATAACCGATTATACTGGAAAAATGTTGTCTAAAATGTTGTCATTATAATCCATTATAATCCATAATAGTCCATTTTTGTGGCAAATTTAGACCACGTAATCGATTATGTGGTCATTAAAATCGATTTTTTTGAAAAATAAAAATCCATTATAATCGATTATAATCCATTATTTTTGTCACTGAAATTGATTGTTTTTGCCAAAATAATCCATTATAACCGATTATTTTGAAATAAAATCCATTATAATCCGTTATAATCCATTTCATTCTTAGAACTAAATTCGATTATTTTTGCAAAATATTGCAAATTTTGCAAAAAAAATTTGCAGAATTTATGCCATGTTTTTTACTACATGGCATGTCTCAACGTCATCCCCTCGCCCCCTCAGCTTAAGGGGTAGGGTAAACTGGGGAGGGGGGACAAGCTGGGGGGGGATTGGGTAAATAAGTTCGGGTAAACTGGGGGAGGGTAAATGGAAGACTGGTGTTTCGTAGCAACTGCACTAAACAGGAAATGAGATATTTTTAAACAAAATTGTAAATTTCAAGAATAACCCCTCGAAAAAATCTATTATAATCGATTATAATCGATTAAAAATGGATTATTGTGCCTCGAAAACAAGTTTCGTTTTCTATCAAAAATAATCGATTATAATCGATTATATTCGGATTTTATTGATTAGAAAAATAGTTTCATTATAATCCATTTTTATTCAATTATAATCGATTATTATCGAAATTTATTGAGACAGACCACGAAAATTCAATATAATCGATTATCATCCATGGAAGTCCGGTGCGGGCTCAAGCGAATTGTAGTACTTTGTAAATGAAGTAGCAGGGGCGGATCTAGGATTTTCTCGAGGGGGGAGGCGGATTTTCAAAAAATTTTCGAAAATTTTGACGACCTTTCTTTTAGGTCGACCAAATTAATTTTCTGAGCTCTCCTAAAGCACTAAAAAGACGCTGTTTTGGTCCACTTTTTGGGCACTTTTTAGAAAATTTTGACAAAAAAATAGCGTTTTTTTTTTGGCGCGCGCTACCCCTCAAAATGAGTATATATTGGCGCCAAAGTCGCCTTTAAAAAAGTTTTAGAGTCGATTTGCCAAAAATGGATTTCTTAAAAAGTACCAAGTGGGGATCCTTTGGGTCGGCAGGGGTTCGAACCCCTGAGGGAGGGGGGGGGGTGGCGTCCCCTAAATCTGCCCCTGTGAAGTAGCGTGCGGGGGTTTTTCTAAAAAACATATGGGGAATTTTAATTCACTTTTGCAGAAAACTGAAAACAATTTATGAACAACAATTCTGTTCGAAAAATTAATACAGTCATATCTTTTGAGCAATTTCGTTGGTATCAAAGTTGGCAGGGCTTGGGTTTTTGTCTTTTTCCTGGAAAAATCCTCGGAAACGGACATATCCGCACCGAAGTTTCATGGGTAATAATCGATTATAATGGATTTTCGTTGACTAAAATGTTGTCTATATAATCGATTATCATGTCAAATTTAGACCACGTAATTAATTTTTAATCGATTATAATCGATTTTTTTGGAAAACTTTAAATTCATTATAATCCATTATAATCGATTATAATCCATTTTTATTTTCAATATAATGGATTATTTTTTGTACATAAAATCCATGAAAATTGATTAAAATAATGACTCTAATTTTTGCAACTTTCAGCAAAACTCGAACGAATACGTTCATCCAGGGGCGGCCAATATGTAGTAATTTTCCAAAAAGTGCCCAAAAACTGCATTGTGACCAGCTCCTCCCCCCCCCCTCCCCCCACTCAACAAACCCCCTCCCCAACGTACCCACCCCAACGTATGAAACCCCCTCCCCCCAACGTACCCCCATCCCCCCAACGTACCCCCCAACGTATCCATCCCCCCCAACGTACCCCCCCCCCCCCCAAAACGTATCCATCCCCCCAACGTATCCATCCCCCCAACGTACCCCCCCCCAAAGTATATACCCCCGCAACCTACACCCCCAAATGTATACACCCCCCCAACGTACCATCATCCCCCCAACGTACCCCCCAACGTATCCATCCCCCCAACGTACCCCCCCCCCCCCCCCCCAAAACGTATCCATCCCCCCAACGTATCCATCCCCCCCAACGTACCCCCCCAACGTATTCACCCCCCTCCCAACCCTTGTACGGGTAAGCGTGGGGGGAGTTGGTGTGGGATCTATAGGTAACTTTTTGTATTTTTTCATAACTCGATTGAAAATAGGAAAAAATGAAATTAAGCGAGAGAACAAAATAACTAACTTTAGTTTAACAAAATTATGAAAAAATGAAAACAACACACAAAAAGATTTGAATAAATAGATTATAATCCATTAAAATCGATTAAAATTGATTAGTTTTCTTTTGTTAAAATTTTTTGAAAATAATCGATTATAATCGATTATAATCGATTATATTGGATTTCTATTGCTTAAAAAAAATATTATCATTATAATCCATTTTCAATCGATTATAATCGATTATTTTTGTTATTTTGTAGAGACTGACTAGGAAAATCCAATATAATCGATTATTATCCATGAAACTTCAGTGCGGGTAGTCCATTTGTTGATTTTGGTACAGAGAAAAAGCGAAAATAGCATTAGTTTTCTTCTCCAGATATATTTGTGTTAAGTTTCAGTTTAAAGATTCAGGCCACCGTTTCCTTTATTTTTTCCTACCTTTCTCTGGTTCCAATGTAGTGATACGATTGGCTCGTTTGATTGCCGTGGTCAGAAATAAACCAATTCAGACAATAATAAATACTGTGAAGTCTGCAGTTTGACCACAATACGTTATAAGGAAGCGCGACAGGAAATATGAATGTTAAGGATGACCAAGGAGCTTCATAAGAAGTATTAACAACTGTGTCCACAAATTGACAATCATTAGTTTGCATTAAAAAGCCTAAGTAAGCCACTATCATCAACGCGTTTTTCTTCTTGGATATCATGTAATCATAATAATTCATTTTGGACAAATACTCGAATAAACTGTAATGAAAGAGAAACTGTTACAAGTTGTGTGCGCTAGACAAATAAGCAATCAAGCCACTAAGCAAACCAATCCACTTTTTGGAGAGTGTTTCAGCAAATGAATAGGAATTCTTCGGAGCGCAATCCCACCCTCAAAATTATCGCAATTCGTTGCCTTTTTTTTAAACAAGTTTAAGGGTTTTTCGGCCTAAAAGAGATGTTAGAAATTAGTGATAAAAAGGGGGTGATCTAAACGCATCCAGTTTCAAGCGTGAACAATCGATTATATGGTGTTAGTTTCAGTCCTACTAAAACTGAAAGAAAAAATTGATTCTAATCAATTAATAACGTTTATTTTCTCCATTCGAAATCCGATTATAATCAGTTATAATACATTTTGATCGATTATAATCGATTTATGATCCAATTTTTTTGATACAGTTATAATCGATCATATCCGTTTAATTTTATTCTAGTTTTTAATTCATATGTTGTGCACAAAACGTCCATTATAATCGGTTATAATCGATTATTATCCTTTTTGTTTGCCCATTTTGCCTCCGATCTTGCATCCGAGTTGCTTGTATTTTGTGCTTTTTGTAGACGTTGTCTCGTGTGAAAAATGAAAGAAAGGTTTTAAACGTTTTCAAATCAATTCAAACTTATATATCTTAATTTTTTCTTTTCTCCATTGAAGTTGGTTCATGATGCTCATCCAAAGTTTTTTTAATCACCAAAATATCAACACTTTGCTTTAGTTTCATAATTTACTCGGAAGGCTTACACTATATTGCCAAAAAGACTCATTCAGACCTAAATTTCCCGTTTTTTTTTCAAAAACTGGATTTTGACAAAAAAAGATCAGATTTATTTTACCGAGAAGTGAACTAATAACCAAAAGCAGCACCTTTCGACTTCATTACTAAATATACTCTCGTTGCGATAGATTTATACAGTTTTTTCACAAAGTCAGAAGAGATGGATTTTCTACCGTTTTCGATGCTTCCTTCTAAATTTTCTTTGCCCACACATTCTATATGATGTTAAGATTAGGGCTGTATGGGGGCCATTCGAAGGTCTGAATATAATTTTTGGCTTAATAATCATTTTAAAAATTTGCTCAATGAACAAGGCAATTGTCTTGCATGAGCTTCCAGCAAAATTTTGCATAATCCTTGATCAAATTTCGGTCAAGTACGTACCTATAAGCTGAAGCCTTGAATGGCAGTGGACATTTTGCTATTAAAAACTACCGTCAGGTGTAATAATTCCCCAATGCATAAAAGAAAAACGGAAAGGAACCTTCAAAACAGAACACTTTGGCTTATAACGCTCACCACGTGGACGCCAAACTCGAACTTGGCCGTCTATGTTCAGTTCAAATCGGATTCGCTGAGAAAAAAACGGACTGCATTAAACTTGGATTCTTAGCCCAAAAACGGCATTTTTTCTTCCGAAAAGCACTGTTCTTCTTGCCCAAATTTAGTTTAAGAGCCAAGGATCTGCTCGAAAAACCATGTTTTTTTTTAAATAAAACCTGACCGTAGTTGCTGAGATGGTTTTCCTACTGAAACAGTTGTAATCCGACTGTACTAACTTGATAGATAGTTTTCTGCCTCCTTTTTTACATTTCTAACCTAGGGTTTTTCTTCTTTTCCTCTTATTTTTGATTTTTTTTCTTTTTTTAGAAAGCCAGAGAAGGTAGGTTTTTAAGATAGGCTTTGTAAACACTGTACGCAGTTTGTCGGTTTACTTTCAGCGTTTTGACTATTTTTCCAAAAGTCCAAATTTGTTGTTGTAAGCCATCAATTTTAAACTTAGTTTCTAAACGCAACGTGTAGCGCTTAGACATATTTCTGAACTAATTGAATAAATCCCGAAAAAACGCTTGAAAGCGTGAAAAAATTTGACGTCAAAGTTTACGGGACTCACTTTTTTTGTTCAATTCCTAAATATGATTAAGAACGTTTTGGCGAGATATTGTGTTTTTAACTTCTGGCGGGAAGCTTTCAACTAATACGAAAGGAGCTCCACGAACCGTTTGTTTCGTGGTTAAACTTTGTGTTCAGATGAAACAAAGTGTGACAAAACATCTCGCTTTTAGCGATTTTGTTATTGACGGAAAACTGTTAACCCATAAGATATAATCAAATTGTACTTTTGGTGTTACAAAATACTGACAAAATAAGAGATTATAAATGATTATAAATGAATATAATCTCTTGGAAATTATCATGATTATAATCGATTATATATCTTTTAAACACCTAATTTTGGTAACTATAATCAATTATGATTGTCAACAGGGAAAATAAAAAATTGAAACTGGGAGTATGTTTAGAAGGTTTTGAATTATTTAAGTGGACAGATACTCTTGACCAGATATTTCTAACCTTAAAAGTAATTAAATGGTGCCTCATGTTCGTGGATGTTCTGTTTTTAAAATGAGTTTTTAAGTATATATATTTTTAAAATCTCAAATCATTATAAAGTGAAAAATCCATCGGTTGTTTTTCTTTTGCAGACAGTTCTCCGATTCCTAGTTGCCTCAAAAGTAAGAACAGATCTATCTAAATTCTACCCTAAATCTTAAGAGTTAAAACTTCTATCATCGCTTCAGCTTTGTTCAAAATTGACGATATAGATGGGTTCCTCATAGGGTGGGCTTGGACAATGGTGATGGTTTTGAAAATACGATCGGTTAAGTTTTGCCTCTTTTGCGTAGTCTATTGAGCTAGTCAACTGAAATGCTGGTAAAAATTCAAAGAACGGATGACTTGTAATTTTGCCCTTTCAACTCAGTTGCCAATAAGCTGAAAACTTTGTACCATTGTCAACACCCCCACCCTATAGGGTACCTCTGATACACAAGAGCTAATAGGACAGCTTCAGAAGGTTTTACGGATTTTTCAGGTCAAAAAGAATTTTCTAAAAACGTGCTAGAAGAAAAATAACTTTTTGAAAGGAGGAGGTGCATTCAGCGCCTTTGACTCGGAATGTTTCCGGCATTAACAAAAACAGCTTAGGAGCCTATGTATGTAATCTGCTACTAGAGGGAAGGTTGTCCAGAGGATTTTCAATTTTTGGGGTCTTTTGCATCATAGCTCTCCGAAGGAAAACGTAGCCCCACCAAAATATAGCCCCCCAAAACAGTAAAATCAGCGAGTGGTTGGGCGAAATATATTTTTTACTCGGCTGTGAGATTCAAATGGGAAAGACATTAAAAACAAATAAATATTTTAAGGACCTGGTGCGAAATTTGGATAATAACAACCTCAATCAAGTGCTTGAACCGGGTGGCATGTTCAACATCTCGGCTGTTCCCTCTCTTTTAAACCCAACTACAACAAGCCTGAGTGAATCGACCCTGGGCATTGCAGAGTTTGTGAGTGATCTAACTGAGGCTTCTACACTGGCAGCTTTGGGCATTATGTTCTTGACTAATAATGGCGACTGGAACCCTTGCGTGCCAAATAAGACACTGCCGGTCTATATCAGATTTGTAGACAACTCCACGCCCAATCGAGACAAGGTAAGACAACGAATTCTCAAAGCTCGCAGATTTTTGACTGATTGTCCCATTATTGCAACCAGAGTCTTTACCGCGCCCTCCCACAACATAATATGTTCGCCATGTCAAGCTTTTAAACCTGCCAGACAAATAATTATCTGGCAACCTTTTTCTTCAGGGAGTTAAAAAGTTCACCGTATGACCCAGTGTAAAAAAGACTTCAAGCATATCATATATTTTCTGCAAAAACTATCCCTGCCTCAACAATTTGGTCACCAGAGCAACCTCTGAATTTTTTCTTTTTAGTGTACTCAGAATTTTTGTTTGATTTTCAGATCTCCAAAGAAGTGTGCAGTCTACCAGCCTCGGACCAGACTGCCCTTTTTGCACCTACTAACGACTTCCTTCAAGAGGCTATGAACGACACCAGCACAGCCCAGGCATTCATGAACTTCTTCTTTATCGTCTCTTCTCCGTCTTTGAGGCCAGCTGTGGAAAACACTGTCAAAAGTCTCACAGACTTGTTTTCTGCATATGGAAATGACAGGCCAGGAGGGAATACTAGCCTGTGTGAGTACCATAGAACTCTCATTTTTCCGAATTTCGCTTCACGAAAACCTAATTTAACTGACTTCTGATAATCTAATTTGCATAAAAAACGTGTCAGCGTGAAGAAGTGAACAAATTTATACCAAAATAACTTGCAAATTGAAAAATTCTTGAACAAGTATTTAGAAATTTTACGAAGCTGAAACTAGAAAAGAGGAAGCCGTTTCGTTCTCTACCTTTTTAGGCATATTGTAGATTATCAAAAAGCGACATTATGGCAATTAATTTTGTTACATTGGAAACTATACTCTGAACAAAGTCCAATCCTACCAGGAATATCTCCGTTTTAAACTGACTTTTCTTAAAAATTCAATATAAATTTATGCAAAACTACGAGAAGGGCTAACTGGTTCAGCGTTATGTAAGAAGCGGGTTTGGCGGGTTCTCACCCAGGAGCCTGGTAAAAAAATGACAAACAAAATTATTAACTATTTGAAACTTTTCAGAATAATTTTGTCTTTCATACAATTTTTCTGAACGATTTTCAATTTTGGTCTTTAAAAAATGGAAAAAAAAGCTGTTTGAAGTGCCGCGAACAATTTTTTATTTCTTGGGAAGCATGTGTTAGTCAGAACTTATTTCAAAAAGTTTCTACTGATTTTTTGGAACTAAATGGATATCTAATCTAGGAAGGCAAAAAAATGACGATATCAAAACGCAATGCTCAAAGCAAAATTTTTTCGAACAAAAATAAGTCAAAGATATTTAGACATATCAAGCGACATTATAGCAATTAATTTTGTTACATTGGAAACTATGCTCTGAACAAAGTCCAATCCTACCAGGAATATCTCCGTTTTAAACTGACTTTTCTTAAAAATTCAATATAAATTTATGCAAAACTACGAGAAGGGCTAACTGGTTCAGCGTTATGTAAGAAGCGGGTTTGGCGGGTTCTCACCCAGGAGCCTGGTAAAAAAATGACAAACAAAATTATTAACTATTTGAAACTTTTCAGAATAATTTCGTCTTTCATACAATTTTTCTGAACGATTTTCAATTTTGGTCTTTAAAAAATGGAAAAAAAAGCTGTTTGAAGTGCCGCGAACAATTTTTTATTTCTTGGGAAGCATGTGTTAGTCAGAACTTATTTCAAAAAGTTTCTACTGATTTTTTGGAACTAAATGGATATCTAATCTAGGAAGGCAAAAAAATGACGATATCAAAACGCAATGCTCAAAGCAAAATTTTTTCGAACAAAAATAAGTCAAAGATATTTAGACATATCAAGCAGAATGTATCACCATAACTTTTTCTAATTTAAGCAGTCGTTCATTTTAGCCTCTGATCAAAAAACAATGTGTCTACCAAAACAATTTGTAATATAGTCCGAATCAACTAACTAGTCTTTCAAATTGTGCAAAACTTATTCAAATCTCCATTTTTTGAAAGGGAAAATGTGAAAATCTGTCAAATTTTGCCAGAACATTGTGTAATTTCCGCATACCTACAGGTAATTTTTTTCCTGATACTTAATTGTTGCTTTGTTTTGAGACACTTGAGTCGTGTCTCTCCTTCTTTAGAATCAATTACTTCCAATTGATGAAGTTGTTAGCTGACTTTCTACAATTTACAGATCTGATAATTTCACTTAAAACTTTGGAACCTCGTGTACATGTAGCTTCAAACAAGGAACATATTTCCTCATTTCCTCTTGTAGTTGTTACTTCTTCAAAGGTTTTCTCCGTTTAAATTTTGTTCGCAGGAAACATTTCTGCTGACAATGAAGAACATTTACTACAACTCTCTATGCAGTGTCTTAAATCAAAACATCATATTGATAACTGGGTTGAATATATTGCTTGAAAGCTTATAGCAATAAGTTTCTAACAACCAATTTTCTTGAATTGTATAAAATTGAGACACATTTTAAAATTTTTTTTTTTGAATTAGATTTTTTTTCAAAAATGATGTCTTTCGTCAATGATTACACCTAACTATTTGACGTTTTGAGATTTTAACTTTGTCCGTTTACTTTGCGGGAGTTTATTTCTCTTTATTTCTTTATTGTCCTGATGGCAAACAAACTGTTTTTCTATCAGAGAGATATTTTTTGGGGAAGGAGTGAACAGGAACACATATGCCATACATTTGGCTTTTCGCAAGCAGAATGGATTGATCAACTGTATCAAAGGCTTTGGAAAGATCTGAAAACAGAAAATCACAAACTTTTTGTGTTTGTCCTCTAACTTAGTTTCTGAGAGATCAATCATGGCATCAACTGTCGACATTTTTCTGGTTATTAAATTGCTTGATCGATAACGTTTTTTTGGTAATATACTTCGCTAAAAGATGTATTGAAAGAAAACTCAAAAATTTTGCCGAAAATAGAAAGGACAAAAATTGAGCCTTAATTGCTTCAATTAAAATTGTTGCCTCATTTATGAAAGGGACAACCTTAGCAACTTTCAGACAGTTTGGACAAAAGGTCTAACTCGCAATTCTTATGAAAACATTACTTTTGTGAATGTTGCGGAAACTATTGGATTTGTGATCATCGAAAGAATGTTTGAGGCTCTATTAGAATCCTCATTTTGTGTTGTTTGAAAAATATTAGATATACCCGAATATTTATAAATGACCATTTCGAAACGAAAAATTTTACCTGACACTTTTTTCCCTTTTGGAAAATCACTAGCTTAGGTAAAATGTTTAACCAGTTCTGGACAAATTGACACAAAAAATATCAAATTTTCATTGGTTATTGTATTTGTGCTTGTTGTGCTCTTACATATTTGCTTCTCATTTTTCAAATCATTGATAAAACCAAAACAAAACAATTTTTGTAGTGCGTAAGCGTGATGTCTTTTTACTAAATAAATTGGCATAGTAATCTTTTTGATGGTTTCGAAGGAGGTTTTGACTCTTTGAGTATGTTTTTTCAGACTGTTTATATACTCCTCCTTCTTTCAATTTTAAAGTGAATTAGGAAATTTACTCCTAACGGATCAAGCATTTTTCATTTTAATATCAATCCAGAAAATTTTCAAAATGTTTTTTGTTTTCTGTAAATGGATAAAAAAACGTATCTTTTCAACTAAAATTTCATTTCAAAAAATCAAGCTCTTTTTTGAAATTAGCAATTGGATTTTGGTCAAAATTTTCCAATCTAGTTTGTTTAGGTTCCAATCAAATTATACTCTCGTTTTCAGTAAATATCAAAAATATTTCTACATTTTACATCGATGTTTCATCTGCAACCCTAATTCTTTCTGAGTTTAGTTGAACAAACACATCACGGTGATCAGATATCGCTTGTTTTGATATTGTAAAGCTGCAATTATGTTTGCAAAAAATATATCTAAAGTAGTAATAGTGTTTGTAGCTATTCTGGTAAACTTATTTTCTTGAGACACAAAGATGAAAACTAACAATTTCTTTTGAATAATGAAATTCAGTTTGTTTTGAATTCTCAGAATGGTTTATACTCAGATCTCCATTAAACCAACGTTTGGTTTCCAAATCTAAGCAAAGATCAAGCAAAAGGGTCAATAAATTATAGTCTTTTCAACAGATACTGTCAAAAAACTAAAATTGTCATTTTTAGTTCCCGGCAGTTCATATATAGCAGTGAATTTTCATAGTTCCTCAAACGGTATCAATTGATCTTTTAACTTTACCAGCCGAATTAAACTAAAATTTTGAATCTAATATTACTCGCTATCATTACGGACTACAATCGATGATAAACTAAAACTATCAAATGTAATCGAACAAAAAAAATCCATTTTCAAACTATCATAATCAATCAATTTAAAGTTAGCAGAAAACATCCAGAAAAACTGCATAAAGTTGATTATTAAATATTTTTACCGAGTGCGGCTGATCCAAAAAAACTCCCTGATAAAAACTATTTTTTTTGTTTTGGTAGGTAAATCTTTTAACTTATTTTGAATAACTTTGGTTACTGGGAAACAAAAGATCTACCACTTGGTTTGAAATTTTTGACAGATTAGATTTTTGTAATTTGAAAAAAAAAATCAAAAATTTTTATTGTTTTTTAGCAGAAACAAAGGGTTAGTAGCCATTTTTTCAAATAATGTGGGGAAGTTTCATGCTTGGGTTGGTTTTTCCATCATCAACTTTTCAACTAAGCATTTTGACGGAAAATTTTGGTACCATTCTGAAACATTATTTTATTTTTAGTTCAGTTTAAAAAAAAAACATTTTACCTGTGATCATTTTTGTTAAATTAAAAAAGATTAAATTCGGAACAATCAAGGCTTCGCTTTTAAATCTAAGCAGTCTTGTTTTGTGAAAAATTATTGTGCATAGTTAAATAAACTGATTGGCGGAGAGTACTTGTTGGGCTGTAAAGTCTAGCCAGTATAGCTAACCCTGATACAAAAAAAAAACATTTCTTGTAATTTTTCGTTTTTTATTTCGAGAGATCTTAAATTTTATCACCAAAAAATTGATTTATAACGGTTATAATTTTTCTTTTAAAATGCATTCAACTTTTTTAACTAAAAGAAGGTAAATTATGCTCCTTAATAAAGAAAGTCAAAACGGTGCAACAAGAATGACTTGTAAGTTTGAAAATGGATTTTATCTTTTTGATTTCCTATTGGAGTGCAAAAACTACATATTGATCCAGTTCTTTTTTACTTGGCTAGTTTAATGAGAATAGTGATGACTCCAGCATCTTTTGAAACTTCATGAGCTTTATTTGGATGTATTTGTTTCTTCAAAACTCCGAACTTTGTAAAAAAACCATTTGATGATTTCTTGGTTAATTGAGTTTTGTTTATGGCTATGTTTTAAGTAGTTTTTCACAAATAGTGTTAGAACAGCTTATTTATGCCTAACTGAAACTCTGAAAATTTTATTTAAACAATTAAAAATTATTTTTGGAGTTTTTTAGCGCCATTTTGGGAACCAAAAATTAAAAAAAAAACAATTTTAAATTTTTATTTTTTGTTGACTTTTTGGAGTCATTTTCTCCTAATTCTTGGTCCAATTTTCCTATATTACTGTCAAATATAATTAATAATAATAATAATTGTAGTTCCTGCGAATCGCAGAGGAGCTATCAGTAGGCCTTAACAGTCATGTCGAGGATAGTCCATTTGTATTATCTCCCCACATTCCAGACAGTGTTATTTTGCTGCGCGAAGCTGTTTTTTGCGACTCAAGGCCGTTTTTTTGCGTCTAGAACTTTTACGTGGTCCCACTATTGCAGCCAAATTTGGTCAGGTTGTGGTAGACCTGAAGCTGGAGGTCAAGTGAGAGCTTGTCCTCACACACTATCATTGCCATGGCATGGGATCGAATACACGATCTGACGATTTCAAAGTGAACGCCTTACCACTGTGCTAAGTGCCTCCAAATATGAGGCTAAGTAAACGGTCAAGCTGTTAATGTGGACAAAGTGAAGTTTTCAAGACGAGCTTTTGCGAGCCTTACTCCTCGTTTAGCAAAGATTAGCACTCAAGTTAGAATTTAATTAGATCTTAGTTTTGATCTTTGTTGAATCATTGTTGAATAGTTTAATCAGTAGATCATAAAAAAAGGTTGAACTCTTTAAGTAATTAGGTTAAATCACAATCCACGGTCACATCTTTTGGTGTTTTCAGTGACGTTCTTCTGCGGAGAGCTTGACCAAATGGGAGCTTCGGCCATGAAAGATTTCAATGACACATCTTCGAGTGACGTTGAAGGACTAAAAGCGAATGCGTATGAAGATGACCCGGACCTCAGCAAGCAATGCAACGACATCTTCAGGAACTACACGTCCCAGTCAATAGTCACCAGCAACATCTGGAGTTTTTTGAAGCCAGTTGTGGTTGGAAATATTTACTATACTCCCATTAACCCAGAAACTGACCTTTTAATGGCAACTTTTGACAAATATTTCAATGCGTATGCAACGGTTGTGCAACAATTAACCAAGCTGGCAGACTCGAAAGACGAACTTTACTATGATCTACAGTATCTGGCTGGCTCTGACCCGAGTACTCAAGTCAAAAACTACAACGTGTCCTACCAAATTCTGAAAGCCATTTATACATTTGTGATGGATGGTCAGGCGCAGAATTATACAACAGATGATCTGGCATACTGGGAAAAAACATTTAACCAGACATTTGACTCTTTGTCCGAAGTTTCCCTTCTCATGTCTTGCTTTCTCACAAATAGGACTTACGGGGTTTCGTCCGAGACCAAAATGCAGGAAATTGTAGCACCTCTGATTGACAAACGGAAGGTTTTAGCTGGGATCGTCTTTGAAAACTTCGGAACATCGGTCAAAATAAAAGAATCCCGAGACGCTAAGTCCTCCGGAAGACAAAGACGAGCTGTCAAAATTCCAAAGACAATGACTTACAAGATCCGGTTAACCAGCGGAGATGTTCCGGATACAAATGTAGATGTCAGACAGCCTTGGACTCCCGAACCTCTTACGAATATTCTTCCGCCAAGTCTCGATTTGAAAAGTCTGTCTTCAGGCCAGGTAATTTTGATGGACATTCTAGAAAAAGCGTTTATAAGACTTCATGTCATCGAGAATGGTTTGGAAAACGATACCGAAGAAATTGGAACCTGGATCAAACAGTTCCCGACTCCATGTTATATTGAAGATTATTTCCTCTCTTACATCAAGTACCTTATTTCATTTTTAATGGTTGTCTCGTGGATAGCTCCAGTCGCAATTACAACCAAGAGTATCGTCTACGAAAAGGAATCACGACTCAAAGAAGTGATGCGAATCATGGGACTCAAAGGCTCGGCTCACTGGCTTTCGTATTTCGTGTCAACGTTTACAATTTTACTTATAACTTTGATATTCCTGTCGATTATAGTAAAGTATGGTAAAATATTAACATATTCGGACATCACTTTGCTTCTTTTTCTGTACCTTGCGTATGCTGTCGCGACTATCATGTACTGTTTCGTTTGTTCGGTTTGCTTCGGAAAAGCGAATCTAGCAGCCGCTGTTTCTTCAATTTTATTTTTCATCACCTGGCTTCCTTTCAGTTTTTACCAATCGTACCAATACACGATGCCCTATTACATAATATTTCTTATAAGCCTGCTGCCGAACACTGCGTTTTCTATTGCAATTGCGCTGTTTGTAGACTTTGAGCGCCAGGGCGTCGGCGCCCAGTGGGTTTTCATAAATAGGGGACCCGATACGGATAACTCTTTCTCGGTTGCGCATTGTATTCTGATGTTATACATTGATTCTCTACTGTTCCTTTTTGCGGCACTTTTGATTGAGCGGTTGAACCCTGGAGAATTTGGAGTTCAGCAGAAGTTATGTAAGAAAAGGAAAAAGGCGAAACACGACGATCGGGACAACTCGGAGATCGAATTTGACCCGAATTTTCAAGTCGAAGGCCCCAGCTTTGAAAAAGAGCCTGAAGGTCTAGAAATTGGAGTTCAAGTTCGAAATTTGATGAAAGTTTACTCAGCTGGGAACAAAAAAGCTCTAAACAATTTGAATATCAATTTTTACCGCGACCAAATTACATCTTTTTTGGGCCACAACGGAGCGGGTAAAACGACTACTATGTCAATAATTTGCGGACTTTACAGGCCTACAAGTGGGGCTGTTTTTATTGATGGGATCAGCGTCCAAGATTATCCAGACTTGGCTCGAAAAAGGATTGGAATTTGTCCTCAATACAACGTACTATTCGGTGACCTGACAGTTTTGGATCATTTGGTGTTCTACGCTAAATTGCGTGGCAAACGGAAGAAGGACATTAAGGAATTTTCGGAGCAATTGTTGAAGGACTTGGAGCTTCCGGACAAGGCGAATATAAAAACGAAGAACTTGTCGGGAGGCATGAAACGGCGTCTCTCAGTGGCCATTTCATTCATAGGTAATGTTATGAAAACAAAAACTACTTCATGCGCCTTTTCAGTGCAATTTGTTTTGAAGACGTTGAAAAATTTGCAAATACTGTGAATTTACCGCAAGATTTGGAACAAGAAATCATAGTCAAAAACTGTTTTCGAAAAAGCGTTTTACTGTTTTTTTTTGTGATTTTTTCTTGACTTTTCTTGAAAATAGCTTTTCTAATACAGGTGACAACACGACGGTGATTCTGGACGAGCCAACCGCGGCGGTGGATCCGCATAGCCGGAGGGGAATTTGGGAACTACTGGCCAAGTACAAGAAGGGGAGGACTATCCTTTTGTCTACTCACCACATGGACGAAGCTGATGTATTAGGTGAGTCCTATAACCAGTAGTAAAAAATCGCGTACTAGGTGAGCGGATTTTAGTTAGCGATGGTGAAGTGGTAACATCTTCTCAATCGAAAGGTCGGATGTTCGAGGCCCACAATGACCCGAGCTGGTTGCTTGAGAATGAAGTAACCATACCCGTCCAGAAAAATAGCCAAGAAGCTTGCATGCAGGTCTTACGAAGGCGCGCTATAATGTGAAGAGCTTAGTAAATCGTCTTAATTGTAATTAATTTTAAAAAAGCAATTGACATTCGGGATCGTTTTTTTATTGAAAGGCTGTATTTCTAAACAAATATTGTCTGGAACATCGAAATTGCAAGAAAAATTTTGTCAGATATTAAGATGTGCTCTTTATAATTAATTCTGTCTTTCCGAACTGCTCGCAACTATTTATTAATTTAATAATTTTTAAGTTCTTTATTGAATTCGAAGGTAAAGTATTTGCAATCAAAAAAGATCCACAACATAAGCAGGGCATTTTCATGGATAGTATTGTGAACCTGGACTTGCCATTTCATATTTTCTCATTGACTCTGTCAATGGAAAAATTTCATAAGTATTTTAGAAGTTTCATTTTTCTTCTCATAGACAAAGAAAAAGATTAGCAGACATTCTTCGATAATTTTTCTAAGTATAACCAAGTTTTCTTTATACTATTCTGTTATTTTTACAAACTTTCAGCCGTTTTTCAGGGTGACGAGAAGGAATTAAATACAACTGCAAGAGCCAGTAAATACTTTGAGCAAAACAAAAACTGTTGTATAAGCAGGTAAAATCTCGGTTGAGTCTGATTCTGATCGTAGAATTGAGAACGTTTTTTTTTTGAAAACTATCAAAACTTGACTATTGAAAAATAGCTCAATCATTTATTCTGATTAACGTTAACATTACCTTTAAGATATTAGGTGAATGAGGGTAAAATTTATGTGCTTAGGCGACCGGATTGCAATCATTAATGACGGCGAACTGGTCTGTGCTGGAACGTCTCTGTTCCTCCGTCGCCAGTACGCGGAGGGATACCAGCTAGTTTTAGTTCGAGATCCGGAGGCGAACCCCTTCTACGAATCCGAATCAGAAACCAGCGAGCCTGAAGACTCAAAACCAGTCGTTCGTTCGGGAGAAGAAGGAGAAACGGATAACCAGAGTGCCGGTCGGAAAACTACGTTTAGCATGCATACTGTTAAACTGGAAATCGCGAAGTCTCAAGCAGCTGGCAAAAAATGTCTCAAGTTTATCAAAAAGATTGTCAATGGCGCCAGTTTGAACAAAAGCGTGGGCTTCGAAATGACCTTTACACTCCCTTATAACTCTTTGGGGTCGGGAAAGTTTACAGAACTTCTGGAAGGGATCGAAGCTAATAAGGAGAAGTTAGGAATCTCTGATTATGGAGTGTCGGATACTTCTTTAGAAGACATTTTTCTAACAGTCGCAGAACAACGAGAACCAGAAATTAGCCCGATTTTGCGGAAAAAGTGGACATATTACTGTTGTTGCGGATGTTGTAGTTGTTGTTGTAAAGGCGAAAAGGCGGAGAGATTTTTCTACAAAAAAATAATTCCTGATGAACATTTAGACCAACTTCAAATGGATGAAACTGCAGAAGCTGCGCCTTCGATTGAGTACAAATGCTTGAGTGGTCGCAAATTGAAAAACCAGCAGATTATTGGTCTGTATCTGAAAAGATGGGATAATGTCAAACGCAGCCCGAAAGCTCTTTTTTCATCGCTCATTCTGCCACCTTTGTTTATTTTTGTCGGGAGTTTAATTGCAGTTTTAGTCGCACCCGCAAATGAAGAGCAACCGAACAAACTTCTAACTGTTTATGACGTTAATGGACCTAAAAATGGGCCATACATGTTTGGTTCACTTCCGACCATAGAAGACCCAAATATGACTCGCTTAATGAAAGACTTGATAGACTACCCCCATCATTCATTTAGGTGCATCAAAGGCTTAGAGGAAAAACAATTCCCTTGCATCAAGAAAAATGATAAGTTTACAAAACCAAAAACGCCCGCATTTTTAGCTGGATCAAAATCGAAGTATGATCCCTTTAATCCAAATTCAAGAAAACCATCACCAGAATGCGATTGTGAAAGCGGGTACCCCGTGTGCGACGCAATGGCGGGGGGTCCCGTGCCCCCGAGAAAAACCCTGGACACCACAGACAAACTGCAGAACCTAACAAGTCGGAACATTTCCGACTACATTCTGAAAACACGACTGGATTATAAGTTCAAAAGACTGTACGGTTATGAAGTTAGACCGTTAACAAATTACGATGGAACATTTGACTACAAAGGATTCAGAAAATCTTTTAAGCTACTCGAGATGTTTTTTGAGAACAACACTTTCGTTACTCCTAATTACACTTCGGGGCTAGATTGGGTCGAATTTTTCCACGAATTAAACTCTATTGGCAATTACACTATCACAAAACAAAATGTCAAAGTCTGGTGGAACAATAAAGCAATTCATGGTTTAAGTAGTACAGTGAATGCTTTGAATAACTTGGTTCTCAGATACAGTCTACCGTCTAGCAAAGCAAAAGACGAATACGGAATCAAAGCGTACTCTCACCCTTGGGCAAGGTCTGTTGAACAAATTGCCGACGATGTCGTCCAACAACAGTTCAACAACATCATCTTGGCCATTTGGGTCATCATTGCTCTTAGCTTTGTTCCAGCTAGTTTTGTGGTGTACCTGGTAGAAGAACGGAACTCTAAATCGAAACATCTCCAATATGTTTCTGGAGTGACTCCGACTATTTTTTGGATATCAGCGTTTATTTGGGATCTCACAGCGTATATGGTATCTATAGCTCTGTGTATTATCATCTTTGTGATGTTCCAGGAAGAATGCTACGTCAGCAAAGACAATTTCGGATGTTTGCTCCTTCTGCTTCTTTTGTACAGCTGGGCCGTTACGCCTCTTATGTACTTAGCCAGTTATATTTTCAGGAACTCCGCAACCGCGTATGTCCTCATGATTCTGCTAAATTTCTTTGTCGGCTACACGACCACTTTGGTCACATTCATGTTTGATTTGTTCAAAGGTGATATGGAAGAGGTGAACAAAGTCCTCGAAATTTTGTTCCTGATTTTTCCTCAGTACTGTTTAGGACGATCATTATTCGAAATGGCCTTGAACCAAGCAATGGCAAACCAGCTTCAAAACTATGGAACGTACGAGTTCAAAAACCCAGTCGAATTTGACATCGCCGGAAAACTTCTTTTGAGTTTGTCGATTCAAGGTTTTGTGTTTTTTGCAATTCTCCTGTTGTTTGAAAATCGCCACGTCATAAGAAGAATGATTCACAAGAAAAAACAAGAAAAGCAAAAAAATCCTGATGTTTTCTCAAGAAAAACTTCTGTTTACAACGAGCCACAGGATTATGAGAGCGATGTCGTCGGAGAGGAGGCGGCGGTTCTGGACGGCGACCATTCAACTGCTCCAGTTGTCGTAAAACAACTCCGAAAACGGTTCGGTAAATGCAAAAAGACTTTCGTCGCTGTTCGAAATCTAACATTCCACGTCAACAAAGGATCCTGTTTTGGACTCCTAGGCGTGAATGGAGCAGGTAAAACAACAACGTTTCAAATGTTGACAGGCGACATTTTACCGACGAAGGGCAAAGCGTTCGTCGGTGGTTACAATGTGGTGACTCACTTAAACGACACTAGAAAACAACTCGGATATTGTCCACAGTTCGACGCGCTTGACAACCTTCTAACGGTTCGTGAGAACTTGAAACTCTACGCTCGATTAAGAGGAATTCCGAAAAATGTGAGACGAGAGGTGATTATGAGTTTGATCAGACGCATGGAATTGAGTATATATGCGGACAGAATGGTAGGCACGCTAAGCGGCGGTAATAAAAGGAAATTGTCAACTGCTATTGCTCTATTGGGTGACCCTCAGATTGTATTTTTGGATGAACCTACGGCTGGGATGGATCCGAAAGCAAGAAGGTACGCGAATAGTTTCTTAATGCGAGTTTCATACGAAGATTGTTCCGCTATGGTCAAAACCAAATGCCAAAAGATCACCTGTTGGTGATATTGAATCTTAGCCGTTATCAACTATCCCGACTTTATTGCTGTGCAATTTTTCTATAACTTTTTAGAAGTGTCTCAATTGATAATGTTTTGAATAGATTTAGACTATGATTTCCGATTGTCCCATGCTGCTCTTTTTGAAATAAACTCAAAAATATCACTAGCACTAAAATTTAACCAAACCATTTAGAATTCAGTTGCTTATCTGCTCATATCGAAATTAAAGAACCGCTCAAAAGTATTTTTTTAAAACCATATAACAAAACAAAACAATATATTCTCGTTATTTGAGTTATTTCCCATTTTAGCCCCCTTCCCAGCCTAGTAACAAAAGTATAGCCTCGCCATAGTAAGGTTTTTGTTTGATGGGGGCTATAATTTATTATGGAATACAATAACTTTTAATTTAAATGAAAAAAGTCATTATTTTGTTCCCAGGTTCCTTTGGAAATGTGTCCTTGACGCCGTGAAAGAGGGCCGATCAGTTGTTCTCACCTCCCATTCCATGGAGGAGTGTGAAGCCCTGTGTACCACTTTGGCCATAATGGTCAATGGAGAGTTCAAATGTATGGGCACAACCCAACATCTCAAAAACAAGTACGGCGAAGGCTATTTAGTCGAAGTTAAGACAAAACCGGGACTCTCCGATGCGGCAGAGGCGCACTTCCTTGCCAAGTTCCCAAACGCTATAGTAAAAGACAAACTTCCTACTTTAGTTATGTTTCAAGTTCCAGTGTCTGGCTTAAGTGTCGCCGAGATCTTTAAATTCATGGAAGAATCCAAAGCGCCGCGACGCGAGTCGGGCGTCGCGGATTTATCCGACGTGGGCGAGGATGGAAAAATGGTTGACGACTATTCTATAAGTCAGACTACTTTGGATCAGCTGTTCATTAGTTTCGCCAACATGCAAACGGATGCACGCGAGGGGAGTTTACCACGAACGACCTTGTATGACCCGAGAGAGAGCAAATACTTCTCGGCAAGGCCAGTGTCCGAAGATGATGACGAAAACTCAAATGTTGTCGGCAACGAACGATACGATGAGCAAAACTTCCAAGAAAACGAAGATGCTAAAAATGAAGCCGTTCGAAAACGTTCTATAAAAAGTTCAAAAGCGGATAAATCACCTTTGGGCGAAAAAAAGTCGATTGATAAAAACGCGAAGACCGAAAAAGCATCTGCGCCAAAAGAAACCGAGGAGGTGACTCCTGAAAACGAGGTAGTTACTAAATCGACTTTGAAAAAACGAGTAAGAAAGAATTCAGAGGCGACGGATAAAATAGAGGAGCCATTTCTACTCAACCCGTCTCAAGAAAATGTCGATGATGATGGCACTAATGAGAAAAAAGACAATTTCAATGAGTCGCCTACGAACGCAAAGGACTCGTCGGGAACCTCAGAAGCGATGAAAAGACGAGTGAGGAAGAAGAAGTCATCTACTACTTCCTCAGTGACAGTTCGGAAAACAACGGACGACGAACCTGCATATAACACTAGCCCTCAGGAAACAAAGGAAACTTAATAATAACACTGCATCGCTTGTTTTTTTGACACCTAGACAAAATCTTTTTTCAGAAACTTATTTCGTCATGAAATGACAGTTTTTATACTCAGAGGATACCGACATCTTTCAGGTCAGATTAGACCCTGAAAAACGACAGATTAGAACAATCAAATCATAGGTGTTTGATTAGAACAATCACATTAAAAAAGGTCAGATAAGAACAATCAAAAGATTGGCGTTTAGAGGGACACCATGATTTTTGCCAATGCCTCGGGGTGAGGCAGCATCAACCAATCCAAAAAGTTAAAGAATATACTCACCCTGGATACATAGCCAGGGGAATACTTCAGACTTCCTTCCACGAACGTCCATCATCCAGGAACGTCCAGAACTATCCAGGAACCCTGCCAGGAAGTCTGCACGTTTTTTTCTGACAAATGTTGAAAAAACAGTATTTTCAATCTAAATTTTTCAAAATAACACATCAAAATAATAAAACTGAGGTATTTGGGAGGTTTACTAGGAAATGAAAAAATCCTTGAAAGCCAGGTCTGGACATCTGCTAGGAATGTTTTCAGGAATTCCAGGAAGTCCAGGAAATCTTGCATCAGTTAATTCGGTTTGATTCTAATTTTGAATCAAAAACTCACTTCAAACATTTCAACTTAAGTTATACGAGTCAAAATACTAACAAGGATAGCCGGTTACTGTGCAAGTTGCACAGAATTTCCCGACCAGTCTTAAAGAATTACAAAACTATTTTTCCAATTAGTGCCGTTTTTTCGGCTTGGTGTGATGAAGGAATTTGAGCGAAAAAAGCGTCGTCAGTCATGTAAAATATGCAAATGGGAAAACAATTTTTGAAGACAAATAACTAGAAAAACAAAATTAAAATAAAAAAACTTTAATTTTTTTTCTAATACTTCAAATTTTTTCCCCGAATTTCTGAAGTTTTTGATTCCTAAGATGAAGCTAAACACTCCAAAAATTATTTTCATTATAGTAAAACTAAAATTTCAAGGCTTAAATTAAGCATAAATAGACTAATGTGAGCCTGCTTACTCCCCCGAATTGGACGAAAAATCGAAATTTTTATACCAGTTTTTGTTGACACTGGGGATTTTTTTGGAAACTTTTAAAAGACGTTCAAATCACTATCTAAGGAAAATCAGACTGTTATATCGCTCGACCCAGTTCGATCGTTAATTGTGGTACCTGATTTCGCGTGGAAAAGAAAAAGTTGAAAAAAAACTAAAGCACACCCGAATACAAAGCTTCTCCAAACTTTAATGATGGGAACAAAAAAACTAAAACACACCCAAAAACAAAATCCTCCCCGTTTTTCAAATGGTCGGAGCAGTGATAAATAGGATATCAGCTTTACAAAATTGGATAGAGGAACTCACCTTAGTTCAGTTGGGAGCCAGTTTTGGCCCTTATTAATGCACCTTGTACTGTAATACTACACAGACAAAAGACCATTGTCTAAATTGTTTATTTAACGACCCAATTCTAAATTGGAGCGTGCCATTTAAATTAAAGCCTCTTTTCACTAAATCAATTATTGACTGATTTACTCTTATTAGGACTATAAAATCTTGTTTTGAAAATCCACTCCTTTTTAAATACTTGTCCAATTTTTCTCATTTTTTCATGCTCAATATTTTAAAAGGGCGGCGGTTTTTAATACGTCCCTTTTAACTTAACTTGAAACAAACTGGATAAATATTTAGCAGTCTTGCCGGCTGCACTGAAATTCTCCTTGCTTTGATTAAGCAGAGATGCACCTGCAATATGATGCATCAGAGAGAGTAATATGAATTTTTAATAAGACAAACTGAAGGCTGCGGTTTTTATCAAAGGGGACTAATAAGTTAAAGATATTTGATTTGAAAAAATCATAATAAAAACTAGTTGAAAATTCCCTTATTAGAAAGGGAGAATAAAGGAGCAGGTGAAACCTGAATAATTAAAGATTGAATCAGCCGCCGGTTTATGCTTACGAGCAAAAGGACTGGCCTGAAATCTTCAGTGTTTCATTTTGCTCAGTAAGCAGCAAGTTAGTTATCTTCAGTTAGACCTTTTCAAAAAATAATTAATTTTCTTTTTCTGCCTTTACAATAAAAATAAACTAGCCTTTTTTCACAAATAAAATAGAGAATAAAATTCTCATTTAAAGTTCGACAAAATTATAAATCGAGATACTCGAGAGACCCACACCTGAGGAAGTCTGGACTACAAGTACCCAAAGGACTACGGCAAAGACGACACTGACGCCCAAACCAGAAGTGCCGAAGTGGACACCATCAAGAGCGACCCATACATACAAATCAGTCATCGACCTTAGTAAGAAGATAAAATATTGATGAACAAAATAAGATTAGCTCAACCTTCCCTCATAAGTATATTTCTTTAAGCTGTTCCATTCGCTTATATAATCTAATTACCCAGTGCTTTGTATTTAACCAACTAATTAATTCATACCTTTTCTAACTATTGTTTCTACTCTACTTTTTGTCAAGACAATTTGACGATTTAAGGTGAGACTTATAACTTAGGATAATATTACTAAGCATTCAACCAGCAATGAGCGCTTAGTAAAACTGGTGCGACCGCAGCAGAGAACTACTCCTTAAGAAATTCCATTTCCAACAAACTCGAAACAGCTTATAAAATTCAAAAAAAAATTATTATTAGGATCTGTGAGTATTTGTCAGATTAGTTTCCAACCTCAAAAAGCTAGAGACAATGGGTATCTTTCGATAGAAACACAATTTCATTGTCTTCTACTTGACAGATATTCCTAGTAGGGTTCTTGCGAAAGCATCCCCTGCGCTAGCAGTCGCCCACGATATTCCTCCATCTCGAGGTCTATTAGACGGTTTTCTAACTGACATTAGCTCATGAACTTAACTATTATCTATTATTATAATAATATATAAAATTTCTGAAAGAATCGTTCTCTGCCTAAGTCCGCTAGTAAGATATACCCGTTTTGTCCAGTAATCCACTAAATTTTTGCCGAAACTTCAGTTTAAAGTTATCATCACTAAAATTAACGAAATTCTGTATTAAACTAAAGTGCTCAAAAACTTATTAAATATCTTCAATATTTTTTCGAGGGGGTTACGTGTGCGATCTAAGAGTGCCCTAAATTGTATGATAAATTGAATTCTTCATCACATTATCTCAAACCATCCACGTTTGTTGCTATTTATTCTAATCCTTCATCATTTCTCGAGGCTTATCCTCATTTTTTCTTAAACTAATTTTAATTCTATCCACCTTAACATAACTTAAACCTAAATCATCCATCAGTAAAACTCCCAATTACTGAAACTAAGGAAAAAAATAACAAAAACCACGAAGGAAGGAACGGATTTGGGTGTTTTTAAATAAATCGTTAGTTTTTTTAAATACAGTTTAAATATACACCTAATAAACAATAAGATTACGCACTGAAACCAATCATAAACGTTAACCACATAACACCAAACACCAAGTTTTAGTTTCAGTACAAAAATATCAGGTTTCACAACAAAAACTAAGTTTAAAACACTGACACATCCATTTTATATTGATAAACTAGGTTTCATATGATAGCATAAGCACTAAAAAATTGATTTTTCCCAGCCAAAATTTTTGGTTTCAGTCTAGGTTTCAGTTATAGGGTCAAACGTTTCAGTTAAAATAAGTTTAGTTTCCGGTCAAAATTTTAAGTTTCTGTAAACGGATTCGGGAAAAACAGCAAAAGTTGAACTAGTCAAACCCAAATTTGGATACCATAAGTCAAAAACCTGGTCTTAAATGGTACGTTTTTGTTAGTTTCAGGTTTCAGAACACAAAAATTGAGTTTTTGGTCTCAAAATTGAGCTCCGAACGCCGAATTTTAACTTTCTAGAGAAAACTAACCGTGTTAAAACCCACCAAACCAATTTTAAAATTTGGTTCCTAAGGCTGAAACGTACGTTTCAGAATTGGTGTTTTTGGTTTCAGAACCAAAAAATTTGCTTCCCGAGTGAAATTTTTGTAAAATATTGAAAGATAATAGGAACCCTTAATGCACTAACAAATTTTTGAACTCAAAAAACTTCTAGAAGGTGTTAGTTTGAGCCCTCAAACTTATAGTTTCAGAAAATTAAAATCGCCGTTTTAGGCTAAAGTGTTCATCTTTTTGGCAATTTTCTTGCTGGAATAAAAATATATTAGTGAGACCAACCTAAATTTTCAATCTCAAAACTCTAGAACCAAGTGGTTTCAGTTCTCGAAATCATAGTTTCAGCCCCAAAAACTTAGGTTTCCGCAAACAAATTTTCGAATTTGAAGTTGCAAACCTGTTCCAAATTCTAATTTACACAAGACCAGCTATCAAAAACCAACTTTTTATTTTCATGCATCGAGTTTGTGAGAGTTTAAGAGTTTTAGGTTTGAGATTTAAAAAAACCTTTTTAAGATATCAAAAGATTCGATTTTCTCGAATTTTTTTGCAAGATAAAGCATAAACTAGGTATACTAAAGCTTCTAGACAATTTTAAGATTAAAAAAACTCAACTTCAGCTACCATAGTTTCAGGTTTCAGATTATCGTTTCAGTCAAAAATTGTTGTAAAAATTTCAACAAAAAAATTAATTAGTGAGCTAATAATAGCCCAAAAAGACATATAGTTATATTGTTAACCATACCAAAAGCATCAATTAAACTTATGTTGAAGAAAGTTTCAGGTTTCAGTTAAGATTTCAGCGAATAAAAACTTGAAAAACTTAGAAAAAATTTTAGAATAAAATTTTTTTTTGTTCTCATTTTATTATTAATAACCTTTGTTAATATTCAATAATTCCTCGGAGGTTTTCATTACTCTAAAACATACTAATCAATTAGTACAACTTAGCTTAAGAAAAAAATCATCGTAAAAATTAATGTCAACACATTTTAAAATTGACGTCAGTACAATAAATTTAAAACTCAAATTAGGAAATAAAGTCTCTAACATCATATGGTATATCACTAACACGGAAAAAGATCATATTAGTATACTAGCAAAACACCCTAACGACGATAAACACGAATTATACGTCTTTTTTTGACGATACACTCCAGAAATTGACACAATTCTTCAGCAAATAAAATTACCAAATAATATAATTTATATACCGCAAGAACGATTAATTGCTTCACTCCCGATTGCTTTTTCATACCATAATATTCCTAAGCACAAAACTACCTGCATTTTAATCAATTTTTATTAAAAACCCAAATTTTTCCTTAACAAAAATTTAAAACATAACAAGTTCATTCCAAATTCATTAGAAAAATTTAAATATACTTTATATTGTTTATCATTCCCTAAATAAATATTTATGTCCCTAAAATGATGTAAAACGCTATGATCAACTTTTATCAAGTAAATACAACAGCATTTAATTTAAAACTAAAATTAAAAAATAAATCCACAAAAATTATTTGGTATATCACCAATATCCAAAAAGATCAAATCACAATTTTGTCCAAACACCCACACAAAAATATTCACGAATTAACCATTCTCTGCAGCAGCAATACCCCAGAGATAACTTCTATCTTAAAAAAGCATAAACAGCCCCATAGCACTATTGATCTATCTAACAAAAATTCGTATTCTTTAAACCCAGCAAACTTCATTGTAACTTAAATACAATTTTTTCAGTCCGTACAATTGATCAGTACACAACACATCCAAACACTTTATATATTGTTAACAAAACATTGAGTGAATTAAACAAAGATGGCAAAAGTAGTAGCATACCCAGATTTAGCTCTCGAAAAATTTACCGGCTTAGATCCAAATGAAGATGCAAGAGAATTTCTTGATATAGTAGAGAAAAAGATAGCATTTTCCCTAGGCACTAGACCAGGAGATGCAGGTGGCGAACAAGACGCATATGATAACAGACAAAGAGCCTTATTTGGTTCAATATTAAGAGGTCCAGCAGCTCAATGGTATCAGGAATTAGCAGCAAACTTACCTTGGAATGATATAAGAGATCAATTCATAGATAGATTCACTGATGATAAGGATAAATATAGGAGACGAATAGAAGCAGAAAACATAAAAAGACAACCTGATGAATTCATTAAAAGCTACATACATAGATTAAGCACTGCAGTAGACCGTGGATGGCCTAATCCAACTTTTAATGATGATCAAAGAACAGCAAAGAAAATGGAATTCTTTGTACGCGGCTTAAGCCCGCCAAGCTTGAAACAAAAGGCTCATCAATTCCTAATTGAGAATCCACCCGCAACATGGCAACTATTGAAAGATTATATTGCCACAAAAGACTTAAGTTTTGCAATAAGTAGTGAGTTTATCGGAACAGCATCCAGTAGCATAGATAATAAATTGGAAATAGAGGGAATAAAGGATCAACTTAATGAGTTAACAGGACTAATGAAGGATCATAAAATAAACGCAGCTTATACCCCAAAGGAGCATAGAAACAAACAAAACAACCCAATGTTTTGCAACTGGTATTGCATGTCAGGCCATACGATAAGACATTGCTTTAAATATAACGATCAACAGGAGCAAAATTATGACTCGCTTCAATTAAGAGAGAACTCAAACAGAAGTTACCATAACTATAGCAAGAGTAGGTCAAGAGTAGACAAAAATTTCAATGACATAAATCCCCAACAAGACGTCAGGCATTTGTCAAACTTCAAGGGAAGTTCTCAATCGCGTGACAGGTCGAAAAGTAAAAAACCTTCAACGAAAATAATGATTATCATTCACCTTACCAGATTCACAACTTTAGTGATGATGAAATTCCAGGAGACTATACCGATAATGAGTGTGAACTTGTTAATTTAAACTAGATCAGTCTCCGTCCGAACCAAAAATACAATTATATATTAATTTATACCAACATCCCGTCGGAGACAAAAATAAAAACAACGGTCTGGAAACCCAATTTCTAATAGACACTGGAGCAACATGTTCGCTTATTATACAGTTATGAACAATATTGTAAAATACAGCTTCTACAGCTGAATAAATGTAGATCAAACACAGTTGCTGTTAATGGAGAAAAACTTAAACTTATAGGTTATACTAATTTTGACTCAACTTATGGTACAATCACTGATAATCCGGTAAAAATCAAAGCATGGATTTCAGCCAAGAACGGATGCGATCTAAATATATTAGGAATGGATTTCATTTCTCACAACATTAAATCAATAAACTTTCCAAATTTAAACTTAGGATTAAAAAAATACCCAGATGTAACAGTTCCTTTCAGATTTATAAGAAGCAAAAGTTATCCATATCTAAGCTTTTATCAAAATGTACTTCTTGATAAAAAAAATAACTATTGCACCAAAGTCATCCCGCGTAATTTCAATTTCTCCAGCAGGCATAGTTTTCAAAGTAGGAACATCGTTTAGAATTGATAAGTCCTTAGAACAAAAAGGCATTAATGCAAAAAGCACTTATTGTAGAAATGAAATTAAGTCAATGCCTATCGTACTAAAAAATTTCAGAGAATCAAAAGTAAATATAAACAAAGGTGTAATAGGCCAAACGTTTGAAAACATAGAAATAAAATAAACCCATTTCTTCCTGCTTTAAAATATTTATAAATGTGAAGTTTTCATTAAAGATTTTATAACGCTTTAAGTTTGTGAAATTTACCTAACGTTTTGTATACTGAGCAGTAAATCTAATTTAATCTTACTAAAAAATAAGGTTACGAGTATTATCCTACAAATATACTACAATGAATAGCAGTTCTGTATGACAACCAAAAGGATATGCCAAAAAGCATGAACACGGATTTAATTCTTAACCGAGATCGAAAACAGTCAAGTACGCTAACAATTTTGGACCATCCTCAAAATCAACTAAAGATAGAGGGATGGGAACCTAATGGCTCAGACAAAAAAAGTTTTTCGATTTCAACATATTTGCAAAAAAATTGCAAAAGGCCAGGAGTTTAAAACATTACAATTTTACGAGTCTATAATAATTTCATTTTCAGGCGGTTTTATTAACTGAAAATTCAGTATTACACTTAAGGGAATGTCAAATTACCCTACGTACAATACCGAGAATTAATAGAGTGAAACCTTTGATGAAAGAACTAGCCAATGTAAAATTGTAACAAACTCATTCTGCGAAGTTAATTTGCACCATCGGTTTCTTCTTAGGGCCCAAGTAGGGACCGAAGACATTAATTATTATCTTTGTAGTTTTCAAGTTACAAAATGCAAACAAGAAGAAATTCATCAAATGGGAAATATCACCTCCTTTCTTCTCAACACATTGAGTAAAATTTTCAAATCAATATTCTTTATCAAAAATGGGCGAACAACGTTTTTCGACCCGACCCGCCGCAGATTTATGCCAGCATTTGTTAGTGGCTTCATGTAGCCTTTTAAAATTATGGTACCATATTCTTTCAACAACGCAAATGCTTGTTGGAGGCTGTATGCAGCCTTTGAGACTCTTATGATTCGCTCCTCACAATTTGGCCAAAATATCAAATCGGTAGTTCAAAATCCACAACATGCAGGCATTTAAACCCTTAAAAACAACAAATTTTCAGAAGCAACACTTTGAAAATTGGACCGCATCATCCTTAAGATTGCTTACGTTAAATTTTTGCGTCATAAAGTTCAGGATGACTTTCTGTACTAAAGATGTGAACATGGATTGGTGCAGGTGATTAAAACCGAAGAAGAATTATTACACTTATCTTATCGAATATTATACCGTTTGTAATTAGTCTTCAACTTTTCTTATCCTTGATATTTCAGTTTTGTTTCTTCCTTAATCAAATTGTTTCATTATCTTATCAGAAAATGAAACTAAGATTCCTGGTTATAACAAAAATGCTGTCAAATGAAATATTGTATATGTTTATACATGCCTTACAATTTTACAATTTTCTATTCGCTAATATTTGCATCTAGTAAATCCTAACCCAAGTTTATAGCTGTATAACTTGTTAGGGACCCCATGGTAAGCCTGTGGATGACCCCAGGTGGACATACATTTAAGATTAGGGGTTAATTAATGCCCAAATTTCCATTTTTTGCTTTAACTACATTTGCATTTTTGCTTTAAGTTTCATATCTGAGCTTAACTCAGTGTTGTAAAGTGCTTTATTCCTGTGGTTAATAAACACCATGATCGTCTTTCTTGATTTGTATTCCTGTGGTTAATAAACACCATGATCGTCTTTCTTCATTTGTTTTCCGTGGTGGGTTTGTGTGAACCCACAAGATTATATTTTCCACCTTTTATATACATACAATTTTACACTTTGTCCTTCATTGTCCAAACATTTGATAATTAGCTTTAGTATCCGAATGTAATTCGGGATTTTGAATATTTACTTATTTTACATTGATGTTTAGCAAAATGGAATATGAACCAATTTTGAATTGGAACTGCCAAAATGCTGACCCAGCACCAGAGGAGTTTAAAAGAAAGCTGCCTCTCAGGAAGAAACAACGAAAACCTGTAGCAGTACAATCTTTGTCAATGGACGACGGGTTAAATAAGAACCCTCGGAATTTTTCCAGTTTGACTCAAAGATTGGAACTGCAGAAGTGCAGAGAAGCCAAATTGGGTACGGAAAATCCAAAATTTATAACGAGTTTAAAGTACTCAATAAAGCAAAATTATAACAGATAGAAACTGCCATCGTTTATTGAAGTCGTCAACTCAACGACAATGGAAAAAGCGATGATGCCTATCGAGTTCATAACCCAGCAAGAAGTGGTTATAAAGAACGAAACCAACTTCTGGAAATTAAAGAAGAGGGAGGAACACGGCTACATCCTCAAGGCAGGAGGCACGCAAGTCACCATCCCGTTTGAGGGAGTAACTGCCTTTCCGAAACATGTAAAAAACAAACAAGAAGATTAAGACGACATTCAAGAACTTACGGACGGAATGATCAGACTGCGAATCAAGAACAAAATCAAAAAAAAGAAAATCGTCAAATTGCAACAAAAACTCGAGGCTTCACAGAGGAAGATAGCGATCCTCAGATCATACAACGTGGAGCTAGAAACCGGAAGGAAGCTCTAGATAAAACCTAACTTATCTTTATAACTTTTTCATTTGATGTTCTTTTTAAAAGTTTATAACTATAGTATTTAACCACTAAAGTGTTTAAATTTTCACCATGGTAACTGTAAGAATTGAACAGCTTAATTTTCTAAAAAAGGGGTGAGTTGTAGTATTGAGAAATAATACACAGACAAAAGACCATTGTCTAAATTGTTTATTTAACGACCCAATTCTAAATTGGAGCGTGCCATTTAAATTAAAGCCTCTTTTCACTAAATCAGATATTGACTGATTTACTCTTATTAGGACTATAAAATCTTGTTTTGAAAATCCACTCCTTTTTAAATACTTGTCCAATTTTTCTCATTTTTTCATGCTCAATATTTTAAAAGGGCGGCGATTATTAATACGTCCCTTTTAACTTAACTTGAAACAAACTGGATAAATATTTAGCGGCCTTACCGGCTGCACTGAAATTCTCCTTGCTTTGATTAAGCAGAGATGCACCTGCAATATGATGCATCAGAGAGAGTAATATGAATTTTTAATAAGACAAACTGAAGGCTGCGGTTTTTATCAAAGGGGACTAATAAGTTAAAGATATTTGATTTGAAAAAATCATAATAAAAACTAGTTGAAAATTCCCTTATTAGAAAGGGAGAATAAAGGAGCAGGTGAAACCTGAATAATTAAAGATTGAATCAGCCGCCGGTTTATGCTTACGAGCAAAAGGACTGGCCTGAAATCTTCAATGTTTCATTTTGCTCAGTAGGCAGCAAGTTAGTTATCTTCAGTTAGACCTTTTCAAAAAATAATTAATTTTCTTTTTCTGCCTTTACAATAAAAATAAACTAGCCTTTTTTCACAAATAAAATAGAGAATAAAATTCTCATTTAAAGTTCGATAAAATTATAAATCGAGATACTCGAGAGACCCACACCTGAGGAAGTCTGGACTACAAGTACCCAAAGGACTACGGCAAAGACGACACTGACGCCCAAACCAGAAGTGCCGAAGTGGACACCATCAAGAGCGACCCATACATACAAATCAGCCATCGACCTTAGTAAGAAGATAAAATATTGATGAACAAAATAAGATTAGCTCAACCTTCCCTCATAAGTATATTTCTTTAAGCTGTTCCATTCGCTTATATAATCTAATTACCCAGTGCTTTGTATTTAACCAACTAATTAATTCATACCTTTTCTAACTATTGTTTCTACTCTACTTTTTGTCAAGACAATTTGACGATCTAAGGTGAGACTTATAACTTAGGATAAAATTACTAAGCATTCAACCAGCAATGAGCGCTTAGTAAAGTACGATACACGTGATATATTTTAAACTCACAAAATTTCCTTTAACTTCCATCACAAAGTGACCAAAACGCATTTTTCGAGCAATCAAAATTTTAGGAAAAATTGACGCAGCTATAAACTTTTCTTGCGGTTGTAACTCAGATACTTTAAGTCTCCCAGATACAATAAGACTATTTTATCAATTTTTGTCAGTCAAAAGAGTATTTTTGCAGAACAGTATCAATAAAATTTCTAAATTTCTTTGATAATTCCGATAGCTCGAATCGATCAAGATTCACTTTCAGAAGAAAAAAACATTTCCTTGCTATTGCTTCTTCAGTGAATTTTTTTAACAAAAAGGGAAACAAAGACACTTTTTGAAACTCCAAATCAAACAAATATTTTTTTAACTAGACAGAAAACAGTGGTTATAAGCGTGCAAATTATGTGTTCTACCTCAACCCTCAACCAAAAGCATACAATAGATGACCCGTTGTACACTAGGCGGAAAGCGCAGCTTTTAATCTCCATCTCTTTATAATTCCTGTCTGAAAAAAAAAGCAAACGTAAGTTCAATATTTCAAATTTTCGTTCGTTTAAAGAAAAGGTTTTACAGTTGAATAAGCCTTATACAGCCTGAATTTTTTTAACATCATGTCATTGGTAATATTTTTTTTTATATAACGTGATCAATGCCTAACAATTTTAGTTAGGATTTTATTATAACGATTACCTTTTTAGGCAGATTCTACGCTTTCATTTTGGTTAGGTTTACGCTTTCCTTTTTGGTAAGCTCTACGTTTTCATTTTCGCTCAGTTTTACGCTTTCTTTCCTTTTTGGTAACATTTACGCTTTCGTTTATGGTCAATTTTTACGCTTTAGTCTGAAAAGGTACTAACAATTTATTGACATACCAATTCCTATTTCAGGTTTGAAACCTTCCAATGTTTTCTTTCAGTTAGCCACAAAAAGTGCTGGAGGCTACAACAATTCATCTTTGAGAAAATAAGTATCGTAATCAGAAAAAAAGATGAAAAATCTTTTTCAAAATTTAAATTTTCACTCGAAAAAGTTATTGGCAAATCGATGGCACTAAGCATTTTTTATATCTCTTCTTAATAACCACAATGAACAACTTCACTATTTCTGAAAGCATCAGCAAACCGGAAAAAAAGTACGAAGTAACAGACAACAAACAAGAGAAAGACAACGATAAAAACGCCGAACCCGAAGAAGGCGCACATCACGCTGTTTCGCCCGATTCTAAATTTGATCCTAGTTCAGCTTCTCGACGCGAACATCACGAAATGGGGAAAACATATGAAGTAAAAAATGCTAACTTGAAGAGTGAAAACGTCATGTAAGTCTGAATCCTAAATAAGTAATTAGGTATTAGGTACGGTTCAGGTAGTGTTGGTGTGGCCGGGGTGGGGGGGGGGGGGGGGGGTGGTTCAGTTGGGTTTTTCAAGGGGGAGGGGAGTTGGTTCAGGCGGGGATGGCGGGGTTTTTAAGGTGTAAATGCTGGGGGGAGTTAATGGAAAGGTTGGTCCACCTCTAATTTTACACCCCCCCCCCCCAAAAAAAAAATCTAATAATTTATGAAAATTGTTGAAAGGAAAAAAAATCAGTTATTGCGCAACACAAAAAAGTAACAGTATGATCAAAATGGCGCAGAAACAAATTAAATTGAACAACAACTAACCAAATTTCAAAACGTAGAAAATACTTTATGTGCGGCGTTGAATTTCGCATCTCAATAAAGTAGGAAAAAATTGATTACAGCTGAGTTTCATTGTCAGTGTCTACAAAAAAGAAAAAAAAATGATTTAATTAATTTTATTGCCTCGAACAATTGTCATATTATAATCCATTTTAATTGATTGTAATCATTTTTTTTTTCATTTTTGTGGACGCTGACAATGAAACTCAATTATAATCGATTTTTTAAAGGAACTGCAATGCGGGTAGTCTATTACTGACAAAATTATATCAGAGTGAGTACCTTACATAGCCCAACAATTTTTAGGAAAGAACTAATCTCCAAACAATAGTAGAATTAATTTATTTTTCCATGATAGACTAAAAAATGTCGTTTTTACTGAAGTAATTTGTTTTATATAGCTGTAAAGATACTCTCAAGCTGCTCAAAAGCAAGTGGTAGCAAACTGAAATTTCCAGGATTTTTGCGCCTTAAAATTTAATTTTTCACTTTCCAAGCTTGCTATCAGTCAGCCAACATGAAAAAACTGAATACACACCAACAAAAACTGAAAACCTGCAAAAAACTACAAAACTTTTTAAAGTATTTGAAAAAATCAATACATCTTTCGTGCGCGCAGAGACGCAAGCTAAACTATTATTGAGACGCTTGATCAACAATTGCAACTATACTGTTCGCATCAAGAAACGACAACTCGCAAAATTTAGAGAGGCGCCAAAAAATTTGGACAGACATAAAATAAACAAAAAGAGCAATTTTTCTTTTTCTGCCAAAATTTTGCAGGCAATTTCGGTGCTTCAGAAAACCTTGAGACACAAACATGGTCTGATAAATCAGTTTTTGCATGGAAATTTTTTCCAAAATATGTCAATTGATCTTCTTAAATAAATCTGTCTGTCCAAACTCTTAGTTCAGAATTACAGATCGCTTGCTTTTTGAAAAAACTTTGTTTTTGTTATAATTATTAGCAAAAAATTGGAACTGACAGAAAAAATTAAAAAGAGCAATCTGCCAATTTAAGCAAATTTTGCTTGCAAGTTTGAGTTTTTTGGTGACCTTGACTCATTTTTTCTGTCTGAAAAGTTAGCTTTAGCATTTGAAAATTTTCTTAAATGATTGGTCATTTGCTCTTTTAATTGCTTCTGTCTGTTCCAACTTTTTGCAACTCTGTAAATTTCATAATTTTTTAACATTGTTTATTTTTACTTGTAAAAAAATTTCAAATAACTCGCCAGTTCTAACTTTCTGTAAATCTCTATTTATTTATAAAAATTACTCAATTACTCTCACAATTCGTTTTTGCATGGTATATGCTCTTATTTGTAATTCTTTTTAAATGCAAAATTCTGAGTAATTAAAAATCGTTTTTCCAGTTCCGCGGTAAAATCAAAATCTGCGAGCGCTGCCATAGTCGTGTTACGTTTTGAAATTTTTAATTTTTTATTAAGCCTAAAAATGATGTAGATCGACCTCTGTGATGACCCGAATGAACAGCGGAGAACCAACAGTAAAAATAATGACAAAAGAAGAGGTCAACGACCTCCAGGATGATGAGAAGAACGAAGAAGAGCAAGCCAATGGTCTCGGGTGGAAGACTCCACTGATATACCTGCAAATTGTGAGTAGATCCCTAAGAGAAATGATTACATTCAAGGATGTTTTGATTGATTGGAAAATGAATTGATTTTTAGATTTTTCTTTTGACGAAATAATTAGTGAACATTGCTCAACGGCATGAGAAAAAAAAACGCCATGAACGCAATTGATTCGTTTTGTGGTAAAGCAATCAATTGCTGGTGATCGCGGGGTGAAGGGAGTGGTAGGGGTAGCTTTTAAACCCATTTTTTTTACCCCTTTCTGTATACGATCTGCCAAGTTAGCTCTGTTTAATTTTTCTTCGAAGTAAGTCCAGTCCGTTCAATCGGAAAAAGACAAGTGTTTATCGATAAAAATAAATAAACTAATCGCTGTTGGTTTACATTTTTTTAGTCTGAGCTTGATAATTAAAATTCTCATTCTGAAAACCCAAATTCATTTTTTATTGAAATATTCGAAACGAAAACAGCTGACAGCTTCAGTGCTTGCAGAAAGCTATTTATAGCGCTGAGTGAATGGTTGGTTATAAGTACAGCGTTCAGCCAACCAGGGTGAGTATTTTGAGCATCTCGTTTCAGTTCCAGTTCGCGACCTTTCTTGACCTCTGTCTTCTGCTCGTTGGAATAGTGGCGTCTGTAGTGAGTGGAGTGGCGTTGCCTGTTCTGATCATCCTGTTTGGAGATCTGATTGAGCAGATGCTGGTGCCTCTGCAGGAACCTCAGATGTTGTCAGGAGACTCTTCCAACTCTACTGAGTTCGTGGTGTCTGGAGGTAGGTTACGTCGCAAAAAGTTGACAAATCATGAAGTAGACAATTTCTATATTAACCCATCAGACTCGAGAACAGGAAGCAAACTTGGAAAATGAATAATTATTAATTATTTCCTAAGTTTGTTTTCTGTTCTCGATTCTGATTGGTTAATTTAGTATTTGTCTTCTTTTTGATCGGTATGAAAAAAGCTTATCAACTTTTTGACCGCACTCCCTGGAAGTATTTTTTATACAACTCTGATTCAAGAGCGCAATTGTAGCAAAACTAACAATGGAAAAGTGTAAAAAAAAAATTTTCTACTCAACTCGCTCAAATTGTTCGTGAAGAAAACTGTAATTTGTGGAAAATTTTGTACGCCTTCATTCAAGAACGACTGATTTAAGAGCAAAAATTGTCTGAAAACTAAAGGTGGAAAGTGTTAAACAAAGCTTTCAATGACGGAGCCAAGTTCGGTTTTATACCTAAGCACATAATTGTGCTTTCACGCGTCTGGATTACAGATACATATTTTGGACCAAGTTAACATCCTCCCACTAAACACGTATTGATATTGCGAATGTTTGCTGTTTTCGCCAACATTCAGATGTCTTCAGATTAATTAGCGTTAGAAAAAATTTCCGAATAATTACACAAAAAAGTTTTTTTTTCAAGCTAAATTTCTTGCCAACTGTTGAAAAAAGAAAAACTTTCTCTCTTTTCCATTTAAACCCCACATTTGACTGTCAGTTTTGAAAAATATTCCTTGCGTTGTTATATTGTAGTGAACATTTTTCATGTTCAGCAAACCAACTTTTGTGAACACATCAACTATCTTAAGTCACGCATTCAGCCATAATAATGCGTAAGACAACTAAAAAAAGAGATTTGAAATGCGGGGGAAAGTGGGAAAGAGCAGAGCTTTCAACTAATGTTAGAAGACCTAAACTTTTGATGTTAATGTGCTTATCATGCAGTATCCGATTGCTACCATGTTTTGGAAAACAAATTTCAGTAGTCTTTCAGGAAAGATTTTGAATGGTGCGTGCTAGAAGGTAGCAGAAGCTATAAAGTACAGAACTCCCTAAAATAGCAAAAATTGTGCCGGAATCATTGATATTTTCAGATCACAAAGGTCTGATTTTTTTTCAGCTCTGAATCAGAAAGTAAGGGAGTTTATTTACTGGCTAAGACTTGTTCAGAATCTGAACGCATTTTTAAAACAAATTGTAGAAGATCATTTATGTCTAGGCCTCAAGCATTTTTGGGAAAGCGCAATGGTCAACAGGTCCTTTATCAGCCTTTCCAAGTTAGCCGAAAAGTGGAAAAAATTGACAGGATCCAGAACTCGCACGGAAACAAATAAACGAATCAAATAATAGATCTGTTAGGCTCATAACAACAACAAAAAAATTTTTTTTTGCCTATGAAAACCAATTTTTTAAAAAAAATCAGAGCTTTGTTTTGCTTTTATGCTAAGTACCTTTGGCCCGCTGAGATTAGAAAGCATCGCCTCCCGGATTTACTAGAAAGACTTAGCGTATTGCGTAAATGATAAGCACTTTGTCGTTACCTGCTAATTAAGTGGTAATTTCATTCCAAAGAAAATTAGCAAAGTAAGATTATCAATTGGACAGACAGGATAACACAAAAGTGTTAATTTCGAAAATTGGCAAATGCCTTTAAGACTTAATGAAGTAGATACAAAGATAATGACAGCCAGCTCAAAAACTGCTAGCGATAGCCTGTACCCTTATATTGATTAAATACCCTTCAGAGCTTGGTAGCAAAACCAACTCTGCGTACACACCAATAAAATAAAAAAAACCCTAAAAAGCAGCAAAAAGAATTTCAAGCTGAAATTTGTTTACTTAGATTAAAACTTTATTTAAAATATGAGTATTAATGGCGATATAACAAATAATAGAAGAAAAACTAAAGTCGCGGTGTTCTCTTTGTTTTGACCCGCAAATTCGAACACAAAGTCAGTGCTCGACCAAAAATCTTTGTATTCAATTGGAATACCCTAGCAGACAAATTCAAGTCTTAACTCGCTAGGTTCTAGTTTGCTTTTCGTGTTCCTTTTTTTGATAACAACAACTTTTAAAATTCCAACAATTTTTTTAGAGAGATCGAAGGTAAAATGATTTTCTCAATGAAAATATCAAAAATTGGCTCCTAGTTTTTTTTCGGTGTGAGCATTCTAGTTTTTAGTGCACAAGTTTTTTTTCTACAAGTGAGTTATTTCTCGATAAAAGAACTATAAAAAACTGTGCATTCAAAGTGAAACACTCAGTAAAAAAACTCTTTCCTTACAATTTTCTGATTTTTGTTGTTCTGAAGTTTTACAACACATAAGAAAAGCTCCTTGGATATGACGCTGCAGGTAACTGGCAACTTCGGACGCAGAAAAATTTGGTAATCATCTTTTTGATACATTATAGTGAGAAGTTTAAATAATTTGCTTTCATTGCTCTATAAAGTTAATTTTAGAAAAAACATGATGCCTAAAAGATATTGAAAAAAATATCTAAGAGAGTAAGAACTTGAAACTTATCTTTGTTTTAAATCGCTAAAATTGTGGTGTCTTCATAACATGGTGAAAAAAACTCCCTAGTTCGGATCACGCGAGCTATCAAACTTGAAAAAAACTGCGCAATTAGGCATCTAAAAAGAATTTCATAGCAGAGCTGCTGAATTACAGGAATTTCATAGTGATAGTATTTTGTTATTAAAGCTTTTTGGTTTCAAATTCAAGGCCGTTTTTCGAAAAAAAAAACTACATTTTTTTTATAAGCTATCTTACACGAGAAGATGCATGATGACCGGTTAGATAACGAAAAACTGAGAATTTACACAGTGAATGAGCGTAGAAAAAGTCCCCTTCGACGACTGGCTGACGTCACTTACTTTAATTTTACTCGTTTTTTATCGACTTGGACTAGCCAGTTGATTTTCCGGTCTGTTTAAGAGCTAAAAATCACGTTACCGTTTCTAGGCCATCGGCCAAATGACTTTTAATCAGCTTTTGTTTATATGCAAAAGTAACCTCATAGCTGCGTCTCGGATCCCCAGACTACGTCGTTTTTACTAAAAACACGGCTGTAAACCACAATTAGAAACAGTTTTAGTGACAGTCATATACTAGATCCATTAGAGACGGATTGAATCTTTCCTCGCCTCTAACTGCTCATGCTCTGAAACACTAAACCGATATCGAATTAACTTAAATAGGTTCCGGTCATCACAGTAGCTAAAATGTAGTCAACTTTTGCTAAAAGAGTCTCTGAGCAGCGGGCCTCCAATTCTAATCTCTCCCAGAAATAACTTCGTTATCTTTCAATTTATTCTCAATCGGGAGGGTTCGGAGCTGTCCCGAATGTCTCACTGGACGTTCCGTTCACATAGTCTTCCTAAAGTAAGCAACTTCCCGTGTCTTCGAGTCACGATAAGAGGCTTTGTTGTTCTAGTTTTCCGTCTCGTTATCGGCTGATGTGTGTTTGACACGTTGTTGTAGTCAAATTGGCCATTTATAGCATTTGTCAGAAATGTTCCAGTTCAAATCGAAAACTTGAAAATTCAAAACTTTGCAATATTCTGAGTCTCTTTTTCACTTCAAATTCGCTATTAAGGCCTTTAACATCTATTTCGTCGTGCACATTTCGTCGGTTTGAGCGGTTTTTTTAGACAATTACGCTCAAAATCTTGCTTCAAAATGAGCGGTTTGAGCGGTTTTTGAACAGTTTATCTAAAAAAAAACGCTCAAAAACCGCGCAAGATTTGAACGGTTTATCTAAAAAAAACGCTCAAAAACCGCGCAAGATTTAATAATAAATAGTCGAACACAGAAGGATTCGAACCCCCAATCTTGTGATTCGAAGTCAGACGCCTTATCCGTTAGCCAAAATGCGGCCCTGAAAATAGTGTCGCGCAGCGAAGCCAATAGAAATTACGCACCACAATGAATACTGAATACCACAATGAATACTGAATACCACAATGAATACTGAACACGTCTGTTAGATGGGAGGCTCCATTGGAGGCCAACAGAACGGGGCTGGTGGGGGTGCAAGAGGGGGGAAGTGTTCTGGTGGTCAGTGTGCCAGGTCCGGCTGGGTCAGCAGGCGGGAACCCAGGAATTTTTAGTGGGCCCGGTGCACTGCAGCAGGAAGCTGGAAGGGTCACTGGCGATGACGAGGGTGAGGGGGAGGGGGAGCCTATGTTTCACTCATTCAACTTCAATCAGTGAAACATAGGCTCACCCAAGCCTCTTTAGAAAAACTGAACTCTAAACGTTTAGGAAGACCGCTCAAAAACCGCTCAAATCTTGCTTGAAAAACCGTTCAAAAATCACCGCAAGAAATGAGCGGTTTTTGAGCGGTTTTTTAAGCAAGATCTGAGCGGTTTGAGCGGTTTTTCCAAAAAAAAACCGCCTAAACCGCTCAAATCTTGCTGGAAAACCGCTCAAACCGCTCAAATCTTGAGCGGTTTTTGAGCGGGATCTCGACCCGGGTTTTCTTTTACTTACGTAAATTAAATGTTGCTTTGACTAATTTTTACATCGGGCTAAACGGAATTGGAACCATGCTACTTTTAACGCTAGGTTTGTAACGGGACAACACTTCTAAGTGAGAATCGAGCTCAGTTTCAAATAAGTATTAGTCAGTCGTAAAATGATTATCATAAGATTTTTGTTCCAGTAACATATTGCTGTCTAATGAATTTTTTTTATTTGAATGTTTAGCTTCAGACATGGACAGCATGATGGCTCTATTCGAAGATGAGATGACCGACATCTGTATCAAAATGACAATTGTGGGCGCAGCTGTTTTCGTCGCATCCTACTTTCAGGTTTATCCATTTTACCCATTCCTAAATTTGTTTTCATACCATACATTACAACAGACTGTAGTTTATGTTTTTTTTTCAGTATGACTTTTAGTCAGTCCTGCAATGCTTTGCTGTTTTTTTTCAAAATCTTTTTTAATGATTTAGATCACGATGGTGACTTTGGCGGGTGAAAACATCCTGTTCCGACTGAGACAGGCTAACTTCAAAGCAGTGTTGAGACAGGACATATCCTGGTTCGACCAGCAGAAGACAGGCACCCTCGTCACCCGATTAGCAGAGTCAGTTATTTTAAGCAACCAGTTTTAAGCAAAAATTGAGCTCATTGCATACACATTTTAAAAAGATAGTTTTTTCATGCCTTTTTTAGACTGAATTTCGCAGTCGCGCCGCGGTTTCAAGTCGCGCCGTCAGTCTTTTCTTAGGTCACACCGTCAGTCTTTTCGTAAGTCGCGCCACTGAAGCCTTTTTGTAAGTCGCGCCGTCAGTCTTTCCTTAAGTCGCGCCGCTTAAAATTTTTATTTCGCGCCGTCTGTCTTTTCCCGCACTGAAATTTGATGGATAATAATCAACTGACTCTTTTCCAGTTTACCCCCTTTGTTTTTTGCTGAAAACTCAATAAATGAAAGTCTTTTTAAAATGAATTTTCATGTTACAAACTGCATTAAACAAGTCAGCGTGAACACGTGAACAAATTTTTACTACATTTCGTGCATGCAAAATGCCGTGAGCACATTTTATGAACAGTTTTTTCCCTTGACAAGGGGTTTATTTTTATGAAGTTTTTTTTCACAAGGGGTTGGATAAATGGAAAACAGCCCCATGTTTTGCATTTTTATAGTCTGTATCTCTAAAATTCGAAAGCATTCGATTATAATTGTGGGGGTTTTGATGGTCCTGGGGGAGGGGTAGTTTGGTAAAGGTGTGTGGGAGAAATGTAAAAAGTGGGACGGGGGCATAGTGGGGGACATGGCGGTTGGAGGTGATAGTGGGGGAAGTGGGTAGGTTTACTGGGGGACGTGGGTGACATGGGGAAGTGAGTAGTGTCGCCCCTCCCTTTACGACCCCCCCCCCCCCAGAGCTACAACCCCATTCATTCTCCCCCGCTATGCTCAAAAAAGAGACGGGCATAAAGGAGGACGTCGGGACGTGGGGCACAGCGGTAGACATGATGGTAGGGGGTCACAGGGGAGTGGCCGACAAGGAGGGGGCGGCGTATCGTGGGAGACTGGGAGGCATTGATCCGTCATCAAAAATCCAATATAATTGGTTTTTATCCATGAAACTTTGGTGCGGGGTCGTAAGTCGCGCTGTAAGTTTTTTCGCGAGCCGCGCCCTTTGTCTTCACGTAAGTCTCCGCATCCAGTTTATAATCGATTATAATATGATTTTAGTACCAGTCTTACAAAAATTGAGAAACAATTGATTTTAATCAATAAATAATTGATTATAATTTCTCTTTTGATCAATTATAATACATTTTAATTGGTTATAATCGATTATCTTTACCCAAATTTCTATTGTATTTGTTTTGCAGAAAAAATCCCTTATAATCAATTATAATTGTTTATGATCCCTTTTGTTTGCCTCTTTTGTCTTCGCCCTTCCACCCGAATTCTTTATATCTTATGCATTTCGTAGACGTTGGTTTATATAAAAAATGGAAAAACTAATTTAACAGTTTTCAAATCAATTCAAACTTTATTTTTCATTTCTTGATATACTTGGGTTTCTTGATTATACTTGTTTCTTGATGCACATTTTAGGTTTTTTTACTACCAAGTATAAGCTTACTGCTTTAGTTTCATGATTTATATAGAAGAGTTATATTTCACCTAAAGCGGGATTCTTTCAACTAATATGAAGGGATTTCTATGAAACTTTTGTTTCGTGGTAAAATTTTGTGTTCAAATGAACCCAAACTTGATTATACTTGGGTTTTTTGATTATACTTGTTTCTTGATGCACATTTTAAGTTTTTTTACTACCAAATATAAGCTCACTGCTTTAGTTTCATGATTTATATAGAAGAGTTATATTTCACCTACCGCGGGATTCTTTCAACTAATATGAGGGGATCTCTATGAAACTTTTGTTTCATGGTAAAATTTTGTGTTCAGATGAACCAAAGAGTGACAAGACATCTCACTTTCAGAGGTTTTTGACAAAAAAAAATGATTATAATATATTATAATAGATTATAAGAAATTATAAGAAATTATAAGAGGTTTTCGGAAAAATTAGATGAAATTATAATTGATTATAATTTATTATAATGCCACAAAAAATGTTATCATTATAATGGGTTAAAAATGTCACGTTTAAGCATCTAAATTTGGCGCGTATAATTAATTATAATTTTGATAAAAGTTCAATCATAATTGTAGTATAATCGATTATTTTCTCTTTTACTGAGTGGGGTCGCGCAAAAATTGTATAAACGATGTGACGCCCCCTCCCCCCAAAACTCCAAAAAAGTCAAAGACTTGGACATGAAAGAAGAAGTTACACATGATGGCAGACAAAAGTCCAAAAAGATATAACGCGCAAAAGTATTGGACTGATATATCATATAAGGGGCCTAGGAAATTAGACGACAAGCAAATTAGACAGATGCTTCAAAAACGAAACTAGACGAAAATTCTTTTTTTACAGATCTGGCATTTTAGACGAAAAAGCTATGAAAAGGAAAAAGCCAACGAACATTTTTTTAAGAGTCAAGTTTCACAAATACAAGAAGAACATATAATTTCAATACCTATCAAAACAATTCGTTTAAATGAACATAAAATGTCAAATTCGAAAATTACAGGAGAGTTTTGAATTGAAGAAATTATGCATGGTTGACTTATAAAATTTTTGGCCGACGAAATTTAACTGTTAACTGCAAACAATTTTATTTTACTCACGCAATTTGTCTGCAAACAAGTTTAATCTCTCTCACTTTCGTCTATTTTCTCACAATTGCAGTTTTGCGTTGCGAAATCGTCTAATTTCCCTTTAAGTACCTCCGTCTAATTTCCTTATTGTCTAATTTCTCAACCCCATCATATAGATAGAGCAAGTAAAAGCACAATAACTGCACAAACAAGATGAAAGTGAAGCATCCATGTAAAAATAACTGTTTCAAGATAATTACTAGTGATAATCAGGCCAATAGTTTAGTTTCTTTGTCACATGACGCAACTCGTTTGCATAAACTACTCTCTATCTATGATTGTTATTTACTTTTTTTCAAGGTGGCGGCGTCAGTCTATTCTTATGTCACGCAGCCTCTTTGTCTTTTAATAAGTCGGGCCGCTTGAGTGTTTTCTTAGGTCGCGCCGCTTAAGTTTTTTTTGTAAGCTGCGCCGCTTAAGTTTTTTTTTCGTCAATTGACGACGCAACTTACGAAAAAGCTGACCGCGCAATTTACGAAAAAATGGACGGCGCAACTTACGAAAAACCGACAAGGCGACTTAAAAGACTAAAGCGGCTCTAGTTAAGGAAAGAGTTGAGCGGCACTTTATACGAAACGACTTAATTGACTCACAAAAATACTGACGTCGCGACTTGAGAAAACATTTAAAAGGCGCGACATAAAAGACTGACGGCGCGATTTGAGAAAAAAACAGATGTCAGTTAAGAACAAACTTAACCGGCGCGACTCAAGAGAGAATGACGGCGTGACCTAAGAAAAGACTGAAGGCGCGACTGAAGAAAAACTGTTGGTTTTTTGCTCAGTGGCGCAGGTCGAGGCGGTTTGTCCGAGTCGCGCCGGTAGGGAATTGGCTATTTACAATCGCGCCGGCGGTTGCGCCACTTCTCAATTGCCAAGTTTTGTTTGCGTTGGGCTGAAATAGCCAAATACGGGTCGCGCCGCTCTTTTCTTAAGTCGAGGACCTCAACCCTGGCAACATCATTGAACAACACTGACCATCTTTCTTGAATTGGTTATTTTGCCTTGTAAATTAACATCCTTAATCATATCACTCTTTTTCTGAAGGAAACATTATTTCGACAAAATTTAGAAAAAAAATCAATTTGCAGTGACACAGAGAAAATCAGACAGGGCATATCGGACAAGATAGCGATCTGTGTACAGCACAGTGCAACATTCATTAGTGGTTTTGTCATCGCCTTCGTGTATGGACCCAAAATGGCGGGAGTCATGTGTATCATTCTACCCCCTCTCGCAATAGGCGGCATGGGATTCGCCAAAGTAAGTCTTTGATTGAATGGTTCAGCTTTTCATGCTTTTTAGGTTCTTAAACTAACAATCCCCTCACCCGCTCTAATTGTGGTGATTTCATATTGGTTGATTTTTCCAAATGCGTGATTTTTGATGAAACATGAAAAACAAACGTTTTCAGATTATTTGATTTGTTCATTATACCAAATTTCATTACAATGTGTCCACCGACCTTTTATTCAGTTTCCAATTTTTGTTTTCTTTATTTTAACTCAGAATATAGTTCATCCACCTTGAGAAAAAGTCACTTTTTCAAAGTGTTCTACTTGAATTCTTTGAAGTTAATGGAAAACTAGCGTGCATTTTTGCCTTGATTAATAATAATACATGCGGCTTCAAATAGCTTTAAGTTTTTCAAAAAAGAAAGGTTGGCATCTGATGAGCTGTCACAATGAATGTTGGGCAGATCTTGAAAGTTTTGACCTCTATATCATATCATAAATCTTTGAAAATGCAGTTTTTATTGAATGCCTATTTTCATTAAGTGCCTGTTCTCGCATAAAACTTAAAACTAGACTAGACAAGACCATTATTGTGACAAAATTGTCGGTACAAACGGCTCTTCTTTGGGCTAAGCTAGCGCGCTCTATGTCTGCTAATTAGTTGCGACGTCTTTTTTCTGCAAACTTGTGTTGTAGGTCAGTGGGGATGCTTCGGCGGATGAGCAGCGGGAGTACGGGGAGGCGGGGGCGGTGGCCGAGTACACTCTCTCCTCCATCCGAACTGTGGTCGCATTCGGAGGAGAGCCACGAGAGATCAAATTGTGAGCATTACGAGGCCAAACTGTGCATTTTGTGAATTGTTTAACGGATTCCGCAACAGGTCAAAATCAGATTTGTCGCGCAATCCGCAACATTGCTACTTTTCTTTGATCTTCTTTGCTGTTTGAGATTCCAAATCTTGGATTCTGTTTTGGAATCTTTGCTTTTCTAAGTCACCACTTACAGATCTAACGACCATTAATGTATATTTTTTAAGCTTCCATTGTATTCAATTATTTTTATATTCATTATAGTTACAGCTAAACAGATATGTAAATACTAGATATTCCGCATAGAGGGGTCACCGAAACATTGGGTTACAATTGGGTGATTGAGGACATGAAAAAGAGAACTCGCGTTAGTCTCAGAGTTGTTAAACAAAAAATAGAGCGGCAGAATCAAAAATTAACCTTTTGAGTAGTATTTGGGTTCAGGTACGACAAGAAGCTGAGAAAGGCGAGACGACTTGAGCGCCGCAAGGCCACTGTCACAGGTGGATTTCTCGGATGGGCATTCGGAACCATGTTCGCAGGATACGGACTCGCTTTTTGGTAAAACAATTGGGCTCTTTTCTGTTATATGGCGCAAGAAATATTCTTTTTGCCATTTTGAAAATTTGATCATTATTCTCGAAGTTGATTGGCTCAATTAACAGTTTGATAATTTGGGCCGTATAGCAGAAAAAAAACCACAAATTCGATTAATCTGCCGCAAACAATTGATTTCAACTGTTATAGCTTCCAAAACCCAACTGAATAATTGAGTTTGAGTATAATTCACATAACCAGAGCCTCGCCGCAGAGGTGTACCAAATTTTGTGTATCTATCTGCCTTTGTTTTTCTTCACTTGTTATTCAAATTTATTGTATTAAGGAAAAAATACCAACTTAAAATCTTCCGTTAAATTAGAAATGAAAAAAGACTTGGCGTTGTCTGAAAAGCGTTTGTTTTGGTTCGCTCGACTATTGTTGTGAACAAATGTACCTTTACACGAGAAAATTAGGCAAGGGAGGGAAGGTATGGGAGGAAAGGAATAAATTCAGCTCGAAGCATGAAGTTTTGATCCGAATATTCTAGAACAATTACAAGAATTATAACAGGTATGGGCCGAAGCAGATAGCGAATGACTCGATGAGTGTGTCGGAGGTCATGACTGTGTTCTTCTCTGTGCTGATGGGAGCCATGAGTGTGGGCCAGGCAGTGCCCATATTTGGACTGGTCAGCTCAGTCGCCGCCTCCTTCGAATTCGTCAAAGCAGTTATCCGCAGGGTATGCACTAATAGCTCATTTTTTCATCACACAAATATAATCACTGATATAGTGGAAGTTTGAGAGATTTTAAAACTTTGAAAGCTTTACAACTTTTTTTGAGCTTTTCGAAGGTTCTGTTTTTGGTAGTAAAACCTACTACCAAAAACAGAACCTTCGAAAAATTCATTAAGAAAATGCAATGCTTTCAAGGTTTTAATCTCTTTACTTAATACATCAGTAATTATTTTTGCAAAATAAGTGGTGTATTGTGTATTTCAGTTTACTGGAAAAAAATAACCAGTTTATTGAACCTCAGTTACCTGCACCCGTACAGAGTGCGTTTTTGAAGGAGTTGCTAATTAGCAGAAATCTTTAAGTGACAACTATGCTGACAAAAAATAGGCCGACAAAAAGTACTCAAACATTTATTTACATAAATGGTTCTTCTCGGATAGTTTCTTCGCACTGCTCACCCCTCTCCGATCATGGTAATCGGGAGTAATGGGTTGCAGTCTTCCCGTATGCACCAAAAAAATTCCACTATATAAACACGCTCAACCCAGCAATACGAGGCCAAACTGTGCACTGGATTTTAGTCCGCATTTCGGTTGACCCGGTTCTCAAAGCAAATCAAGCTCGCTTAAATTTTTCTGTTTTTGTTTATTTATGGCTAGTACTTTAGACTTATTTGAGGCCTAGTACTCAGACCTAACAATTTTCAACTCAACGTTTTTGGCTCACTATAAAAATAAGAACACTGAGCTTAAAGTAATGATTAAAGAACAAGTAATATTCAAACTTACAGAAGGTGTAGAACTTAACTAAGCACACAATTTGGTCAAGGACAAATAATTTATTAGGACTTAAATTGTTTCCAAGATAATTTCCGGTATGACACTAGGCTTGGGTCCTGCGTAATTTGGTTGTGAAATTTTTTTTTTTGCGTTTTTGGGTCTGAAATAAATTACATTCTCGAAAAATTGATTGGTTAGTTGATGACCAGTATGTGATAAAATACTTTTTCTAGAAATACTTTTTGGGTAGAAGCTAATGCAGAAAACGTTAACTAATTCATTAGTTCTCTGATGCATGCGAACATTTAATTTTTGGTAAATTGAGTCTACTTCCAGCAAGCAGAAGCGCAGATTTTTGAACTTTTAAAAACTGGTGATTGTATAACGATGATTTTAATCAAGCAAAAAGAAACAAAAATTAAATTTTTAGGATCGAGCTTTGAGTTTGCCGAAAATTGAAAATTGGGCACACCCATGCAGGTTTCAGCGGCCCAGCTCAGTTGGTATTCTAGTGTAGCAATTTGGTTTTCTGATATCATGCTCAAAATCATAGCTGAACACTGCAAAAGACTAAGTTCTGAATTTTGGATTGTAGTGTTTAGATGGTTTTGCGCCACGTTTTAAAAAAATTTATCTTTGTGTTTTTTTTTTAATGTTTATCGGTTGTCGAAAATAACGTTTAAATATTTAAATTTTCAAGCTCTTGTATAACTTGATCATAAACTTTAATTAATTTTTTCAGAAATAAAAAAAAATCAATTTTTATAGAGTGCTGGTTGAAATAGTTCGACAAAATGGCGATATTTTGTTTTTAAGCTCTCTCAACGTTGCCCACAGCGTTTTTTACCGTCAAAAAGCAGTATGGTGTCATCTGCTCAATTATTGATTGTACATATCCTTGATATCTTATCTGATAAAAAAAAGTGGGAATGCACTATGGACGAAAAGTTTAAGTGAACGCAATGATTTAGCTTCGTCGAATGCGACTTTTAAAAAGGCCAAAAATGTTCTAGAGTTTTCGAATTTTCCTAAATTTGGAATGATCGAGAATTTGTTTTGACAAGAGTTCAATTCTTTAGACACAAGGAACTCAATTTATTTTCAAGGCTAGACAGTGTCTGTCCTTTTTCCTAAAATTTGCCTTTTTGAATTGACTTAATTCTGAAACGAACCAACTAAAAACAGCAACCTCCTTGCTAGAAAAAACTAGCTATTAGCAAACCTATTTGCGCTATAATTTGCTTTGTGAAAATTTGAGATAATCAATTGTTTCATTGTCTCAAAAGCTTGCTTAGAAAAACTGAAATTTTTGTCCAGTGGAATTTTTCTCTAAAACAATTTGACATCTTTCAAAATTTCATTGGTTTGATAGCTTGATCATAACAACAACTAATTTTTTTTGCGAGCCAGTTGATTATTGGAAGTAGGTTTGCTACTTTAGATTAAATAAATCGGTTCCTATGACTGTACCCTGGGGAATTCCTCATACGACTGTGAGCAATCTCATTCTTTTTTATTCAAGACACTTCGATTACGTTCATGTATCAGATAATTTTTTAGAGGGCTAATGACAGTTGAATCAAAGCCTTTAATTCCAGTTTTTTTTTTAAATTTATGATCAATTGAGTTGAAAGTCTTACAAAATGATCACAGGTGAAATATCTTTTCAAATTTGAGCTCAGGACAACAATACCTTTGAAATGATATTAAAAAAATTTCGTCAAAAATGGCTAGTTAAAAAGTCGAAATTTGTCTGATGAAAAAAAACCCACCCGAGCACAAATACTCCTTTACTTTTGTATCGAAAGTCGGAACAATAACTCAAGACGAGCATCAACAACCAGCGACCTATAATCGACTTGTGTTCTGTTGGTTTCTGATAACAAAATGAAGACAGCTGGAAGAATTCCTACAGTTTTCGAAATCGAAACTAATAATCTATCATGAGGCCTTTTACTCAAAAATTTAAACCATTAATTAAAAACATTTATCATCAAATTTGTAGGAGGTTGTTTAACCAAGATTTTTTGTTTGCTCATCATGCTGCATCAATTTTTTGAGCAAAAATGTTTTTCATAGTTTTGAAACAGTTTCGATAACAAAGTGTGCGGTCAAACTGACCGGAGATGGATGCAAAGTGGTACCGCGACAACTCGCAACAAAAAAGCACCCGCAAAACAAAGCAACACGCGAAACCTTCAGAAAAAAACAGCTCACAAATAGAGACAACTATGTTCTGATGTCCTTTGTTGCAATTATTCGTATTTAGGATTTTTATACGGCTCTTTGATGGATTCGAATCGAATCAGACAATTTTCCGTTAAACTTTGCGCCTACTTTCTTTGCTGAATGAATTTTGATACAGTGGGGTGAGCATAACCCATTCCTAGTTGAGAAACTCTACGCCATCCTTCGTCCAAATTTTTAACTTTTTTCCATTTATCGCCTTGCTGGACTGGTTCTATGTAGCTTGCTTAAAGTCTAGATCTTTTCGTAGAATTCCACGTACGTATTCCCCCACCCAAGTTTTTTCAAAATAATTGAGTTATGATTAGAGCTGGTCGTTCTTAGTCGTTGTTGCGTAGAGAGCTTCTAGTGCCTACTTCAAGTCGCATTCATTAATGAAATTCAGCGCAAAAGATTTTCTAATTTTTTCTAAAGTTTTTGTTTTTTTTTGTTTTCAACAGCCCAACCTAATTCTTGTATTTTGCCTATTCACCTGCACAAAATGATAAAGCACCATTTTATGGTCGCGGTGTGAAATTTCGATTTGCAAGCAGAAACTACTGCTTTTTCGAAGTCAATAGTAGTTTCTGTTGGCTGTAACAAAGTGTTAAGTTCATGTAGAACAATAAATGTTTGTTGATTTTGTTGTTGAGTTTCTCGTCGCAACAGAAATTCAAGCATTGGGAGGAGCATTCATTTATAACATCATGTTCAGTATATATTTGATAGAATAATGGGGGACAATTTTTAAATGCGCCTTCAGCGTCCCAAGCTGTGTAACGCTCGAGCGAGAATGTCCAAGTTTGCCTCAGTGGTGAACAGAAAAAGTCGGTCGGAATCCCCGGCCCTGGTGCATGAACCACAAAACTCATATCCCTTAGTGGCTTGAAGTTCCATGGGTACTGCTATGGCCTCCACTGTCTGTGGCTCAACTCCAAAGTCTCTTTCTTGTTGAATCGCTCTTACAACCGAGGTAAATTTCGGCATTTTTGCTGCGCACTCCACAGAAACGGTGCTCGTTACATTTTGATAACTCGATCGGAGATGTTTTTGCGTGTTTTGCTCTCGTTCTTTTAGTTTTTGCATGACACTTAAACATTTAGGAAAATTTACATATTGCCTCCCAGAAATATTGAAAGTAATGAGGACTACTTTGTGAAACTATTTGCAAGAGTTTCTTTTTTTTGTTTGTTCTCCCACAATTTTTAAATTCTGAAATTTTCGAATTGAAAAATGCGAAAAAAGTTAGGAAAAAAACTTACTTTTCAATTTCTCCCTCATAAGGAAAAACTGAATGTAAAAATCCAATTTTCTAGCCACAAATAAATTATCACGTGTAAAACGTTGTAATTCGCCAGATCTGTTTGAACATTTCTAGGTTGTTAATCCGTTTTTTCCCTAAAATCGAACTTCAATAAATTTTTCATCTTCGAAGATCAAGATTCGTTTCCCGCATTGACTTGTAGTGAATTGCAACCTTATTTGAATGGAAAAAAAACATAGTTAGAAAACATAATGATGATATACCAATTAATGCAATCCAGGTTTTGGGCTCATTATTTGGTGTTAAACGAACAAAAAGACCCTTATCTTTCCCCAATAATTGCTTTGAATCAAGTATAAGACTAACTTAGGTTTAGTGGAGGATTACGGGTCTTCGTTTAGGGGTAATTAAAGGATTATCTTACGAGGTTATTGCGATTTGTCGTGAACGCTAATTTATACGAATTGTCTTTTTTGCCATTTATCTTTCGTTGCGAGTTGCGTTACGATATACAGTAACCCAATTTAGTTTTTGGACTGCAAACATCAGGAAAAAAGAAGGCTTTTTGCTGCTGGATCGGTGTGCGCGAAGGAACCAACTCTACTTGCCCCAGTTTGGTTCGTTCTCCCACAAGGACGACCAAAGATGCTGAACCAGGATTCATATCTCAATGGATCAATCAACTTTTTTGGCCAGGTTTACACGAACGAAAAAATCAGAGACACATAAAATTCAGGCGAAACGGAGTTGAGTGCTACTGCACGGATCGTGTTCTCAGTTGGTTAACAACAGAATCTTTACATTGGCAGATCCTCATACTCTGATCAACCCAGAGCCCGGATCTGAGCCCACTAGTTTTTGGACTGTGGTGTCGTTTGGGAAAAACTGTTAACCAAGCAAATCCACAAACTGTTGATGATCTCAATCAAACTGCTGTCGTGGAAACTCACAGAAGTTTTTTGGGCACGTTTGAGCAAAGAATTAGGATTTTTTTTAAAAAGGAATGCATTTCTAAAATTATTATGAAGATGTTTTAAAGCTATAATAACGTCCGTCAGTTTAACTAGTTTTAAAAAAGTTATATTTATTGTTAAAAAAATTGAAGAAAAAAATTTTCAGTCCATTTGATACGCCTTTCTATTGAAAACTTTCATGAAAAAAGACAAGTCAGAATACTGCTGTTTCTCATGAGTGGGATAAAACAGTGAGTCAATGAATAATTATACTGAAAAAAAAACAGATTATCAATTAAAAACACGAAGGTAACGAAACAAAACACGTTTCTGTCCGACCAAATTGGCCAAAAAAGTCTATATATATAATTTTTAAGGTCTTCTAAATAAGTGTGGTCTGAACATTCCGCCATACTTGTACAGCAACCGCCTGCTCGTGTTGGTATTCTAAGTTTGTTTTCTAATGTGACTACATTTTTTGGATATAAGTCATTTCTGCAATCGAAGTTCTTGCTTCAAATATATCTGGATTTAAGCAATGAATGATTAATCGAATAAGCATGGATCACGATAACTAGTGAAAGTTTTCACATTTATTTTTTAGACTCCTCCCATAGATACTGAGTCTGAAGAAGGGGAGAAGCCCAAGTCAGTTCAAGGTGACATTTCGTTCAGGAACGTCGGATTCTGCTATCCCTCCAGACCCCAAATACAGGTATACAGAAGCACCTCGAAAACTACTTCAATTTCGGTCCAATTTCTATTTAAAAGAAGTATCTTTCTGACTTGAGTGTCAAAGATAATGTTTTAAAAGTTATCAGCTCACAATTCAAATTGCGTACATATTCTCGATTTGAAATCAGTTAAGATCAACTTTTGAGCTTTTTTCAGGTGTGGATCTAGGATTTTCTCAAGGGGAAGTAGATGTTTTTTTGCCCTTGCCTCTTCCAAATCCACCCCTGGTCTTTTCAATGATTTGAATGTAAGGAAAACTAACTTTTGACAGAATACTCATGATTTTTTTTCCGTAGAAATCGTGAAAAAAATCGACTACGTGTTAAGTAATTTCACAGATTCTGAAGAACTTCAGCGTGGAGGTGGGTGCTAGCCAGACTGTGGCTCTCGTGGGGGCCAGTGGGTCTGGCAAGTCCACCATCGTCAATCTACTCCAGAGGTTCTACTCAATCTCCAACGGAGAGGTAATCGGGGAAGTTAATTTGAGAGAAATAATTCAATTGCACTTGGGAATGTCTACTAAACCTTTTTAAGTAATCAATTTTGAATGAGAGAAGGGCACATTATTTTATTTTGCGTCCAAAATATCAACTCTTCAATTTTAATGAGAGATTATTGACTAAACAAAACGCTCTCACGGCTTAAGCCCCAGTTGATAGTACCCCAACCAGATTTTTCATTTTTTTTAATGTAGTTATTTCAGTTCTGAGCTGTTTTCGAAAGGTTTTGACCAAAAAATCACATTTTCAGGCCCGCGATCTGCCCCCAAGTTAGTACAAATTGATGCCAAAGGCTCTTATAGAACAATTTCAGTGTTAGCCACCTAGAAATGTTTGAAAACTCTGTTCTGTAACTGCAATAGTTGAAAAGATTTCGAGAAAAATGTTAACAAAAACGCTTAGAAAAAATAAAACTCCGCTGTATTTGCTTCCAAAATGTGTATCCCATTGAACTTAATGTTTTTTTTGTCTCAATTTCGTAGATTCTTCTTGATGGAGTTCGACTGGAGAAACTGAACTTGAATTGGCTGCGTGAACAGATAGGGTTAGTGTCCCAGGAACCTGTGCTGTTCGGCTGTACTATCAGAGAGAACATCGAATTCGGAAGGGAGAATGTGACGACTGTCGAGTTGGATGCCGCCATAAAACAGGCCAATGCGAAAGAGTTCATTGACAAGCTTCCCAAAGTACTTGAAAAGTTAATTTAAACCTCATTTACTCATCTTGGAAAAGCATGCCAATTTATTTGGACCATGTGAATTGTTTTTTTCTTTAACTATTTTTCTATAGAAAAATAAGCTTGAATAATCTATTTTCATGTTTTCGTTAGGGAAATTTGTCATTCAAAAATGTATTCAAAAATGGATAACGGTTAATATCTTTTTTTATTTATAACAAATATTCACAAAACTTTGTCGTTTTCAAAAACAGGGCGTAGAGACTTTGGTGGGTGAGCGAGGGTCGCAGTTGTCAGGCGGGCAGAAACAGAGGATAGCGATCGCCAGAGCTCTCGTTAGAAATCCGAAGATACTCCTGCTCGACGAAGCCACTTCGGCACTCGACAGCAACAGCGAGAAGATCGTTCAGGATGCTCTCGACAAGGTCAGTTAAGTTTATAACTCGGCAAAATTGTGGCCAATTGCGCAGCAAAAGCATGTTATGAAGTTGAATGTAAAATTAAGAGAAAAATAGACTTTTCGTGAAATCCACAAAATAGTCTTCGCTTTGATTTTTTGACGTGGATTTCATAACCTATGAAATACGGCGGTCAATCGCTCAACAGAGATGTTGTCGAAAAGCTTCGCGTAGCCTCAGAACGTGGAGATCGTTTTTGTTGTGTCTCGGCTTCAAAAATCAGTCAAGTTTGTTCAGGCTCGAAATGGGCGGACGACAATCGTGATTGCTCATCGGCTCTCGACTATCAAAGATGCGGACAAAATAGTGGTGATGATGGGCGGTGAGATCAGAGAAGTCGGCAAACACGAGGAGTTGATTTCTTTGAACGGAATCTACTCGGATTTGATTCTCGCTCAAAGCATCAATACCAACATGGGTTCGTTTTTATTGTATACCTCAAAACGAATTTTTTCAAGTTTTTTAGTATCTGATGTACTTATTTTTGTGTTTTAGATGAGAAAATCTCTATGAGTGGATCCAGTGGTTGGTCATTTTTATTCTAGGAGTATTTAATTTTTGATTCCAACATTTTTAATATCCGTTTGAGCAAAAGTTTAACTGAGGTTTTTGTTTTGCAAAAGCTAAGAAGTTTCCCTTGCATAATTTTCTGGAAAAGGAATTAGAAAAATTTGATAGTTTTGAGTTTAGGTCCGGGCTGGCCTTCTCATAGAGTAGTTTCGGATAAGGGTACACCGTCTGTTCGTTACGCTATATTTTTTCGGCCGGATTGGTTCGTAGTTTAATACCAATCCTAATCTTACTCTTACATCTTATATTTCCCAGTCTCAGTAGATCTGGAGATATACTGGTTTATAGCAAAGTTAAAGGAGAGAAGAAAGTAACTGATTTCAATTGTTATGTTAATTCTCTGACTGAAACTAAGAATAGTTTCAGCGTTACAAATGTATCGTAAGTTTTAGTCATGGAGCATGATTGGTTCGTTATTAATAATTTACAGTGAAAAACATCAAGTATAAAATAGATAACTTGTTTTAAACTATTTCCACCTGAGAAATTCTTGAGTGGGGTTTGTTGGAGCAGCCGTTTAAAAGTGAACGATTATTTAGAGGATAATACCAGTGAATTAGGCAACTCAGGCAACACTAATGCAGCAGGCAGCGGTGTCAAGGCGGAGTCTTCTGCTGCTCAAGGCAAGGTGGTTGACAAGGATTCGGAAACAAAAGTTCAGGCAGTTAGTAACATTCATGAATAGCTTTTGTTCACGTGATTTTTCGACGAGGTAATTGCGCTTTGATATGCTTATTTGAGCGGGATGCGCAACACAAAACGTAATTTTTGGCTAGTTTTTCATAAGTTTTTGAATTTGGCCAGTAAATTTTTTTTTAGCAGTGTTGAGAATGATAAAACGCTAGTCGTTCAATTGTAAATTCCAATACAAAGTTAGTCAACTTAATCTTACAAAGTTAGCATAGAGAGTGGTTGTAAACAGTATCCAAGGGTGACAGACTGTTCCAAGGACAAACACCTGCTAATCGATTACTTTAGCATCAAGAGTGAACAGTTGATTGACAGCTTGCAAAGTGAACTAAATAACACTATGCAACAGCAGAGAAGAAATAAGTATGCCACAAAAACTTTATTTTGTTGTTTTTGACCTTTTTTGCTCTGAAGTCACATACATACACGCGATTTGGTTTTTCACGACAAATCTCTTTTTTTTTTAAAAGACTTTAATGGACTGTTTCAAGTAATTGAAAAATTTTGTTTAGAAAAATTCTCTTTTTTACAGAGCGACCTGCCGGGATTCACTGCCATACTGAGGTTGAACAAACCAGAGGTCATCTTCATCATCATTGCATGTATTTTTGCGGCAATTGCTCAGACTTCAATGCCAATGTTTGCCATATTCTTCGCAGAACTCATGGAGGTACTGATTTTTCCAACCTACTTCTAATTATTGTGTCGACTTCAGTAGTTTGATTATTGGCGAATTAGGGTTTTTTTGGCGAATTAGGGTTTTTTCAATTAGGGGGAGCTCGGTCGGTAAATCAAATCGCCATAAATTTTCGATAAACTTCCAAAAAAAATGGCAGCCCCACCCCTCGAAATATTTCTGGGCACGCTATTGGTCGCAATACACTATCATCTTTTGATTTTGACCATTTATTGAGAGGTAACTATTAAGCGTCAGGTGCGGTTTTTTCAGGCAAATTGAGGTATCAAAAATTAACAGTCCCTTTTGTCATATCAGAAATTCGCCAGTCGCGACTCCAGCTGCATACAAAAATTTCCAGAAAAATAGAATAATAACTCTCAGTAGAGGGGAAAAAATGTCTGTATATTCTTTTCAATCAGTAATCAATGGCTTTTCAAGTTAGCATCACCATAAAATGTTGAAAGTTGATTAGGATTCGATTAACCAGCTATTCAAGCTTATTTCAAGTCTCTCTTGAAAAAAATTAACGATGAATTTAGATCAAAAATCTGAAAAACTGAAACTTTTTTGCAACCTTGCTAAAACGTTACTTTGTTACAGCTAACTCTACTCTATACAATTGAAAGAATAAAAGGATAAAAATGAATAATTGTGAAAGTTCAATAATTAAAAAGAATGAAAGTATCAAGGTGGAACATAATTGACCTGTTAAATCAATTAGACTAAAAACATAAGTGGAATCCTATCATTCCTCAAAACAGGAAAAAAGTTTAAATTGTGATAAACATAACTAACTAACTGCCCCTTTTCTCCCTTCGAGAGAAAAAGAACTAAAAATTCAGCACAGTATTTTCTGCAGTGAGATTTAAAGAAAGTTAACTGGATAAATTGATTGTGCAATTAAACATATCTACTCTACACTAAACTTGAATAAACAAACATCCGAAGGATAACATTTTAACTAAACTGTTAAGAAAATTCCGCATAATAAAAGTGTTAAATGTAAGTAAATGCCAAAGGATGTATAATGTAATGGTTGTAAGCACTTAAAAGGCAAAAAGTCCAAAAATTTGGTGGTTGTGAACGATAAGTGGGATGAAGGTTTGTCAAACATTGAAAGCACAATCTTTACTGCCCAGAAAGAGGTTTTTTACGAGGTTATCAGCAAACAAGGTTTTGTATGGGTTAACAATTGGTTGACAAAAGAAGATAAGCAACAAATACAAAAATGGATGTGAGAAAAAATAATGAGTTTTTATTTTCAGTTTTTGTTGCCGCGGATGAAGTTTTTTTAGGTCTGCGTTAAACAATTCGCTAACTAAGTCAGCGCTCTCGTCACAATTGTCAATGGCCATTCTAAGGGATTCGCGTAGACGAGTGAGAATGTATGCACTAAGCATTTGTATCCGATAGTATTGTCAAGTCATTCGAAAGATTTTTGCTTAATAATAATGTTTGTGACTCGTTGGAGCTGATGTTGTCCAAGATGATTGGGTTGGAGGCTGATCCAGATGTTTCGTCGAATTGGTCTATCTATTTTGGTTTGATCGATGTAACAGCGGTTCGTTACCGGGATTAGAAGATATCGGTTGATTAGGAGAAGCCTAGTCTGAAGAGTCGACTATCGCGGATATTGGTAAATTTACCAAAGATTCCTCGGATTGCGTTGAATCGCTCCTATCCGGCGGTTTAGTCTGTGGCTTGAGGTTTTTTAAAATTTCCACTTTGGTCTATCTATAAGAGGTGGCACCCAAAGTGGAAGTTTTAAACAACCTCAAGCCACAGACTAAACCGCCGGATGGAAGCGATTCCACGCAATCCGAGGAATCTTTGGTAAGTCTTCCAATATATAGATAGACCATAGATAGACCAAAGTGGAATAGACAGACCAAAGTGATGGATCAACGGTGATGGATCAACTGGTTTGGCGGGTATGATGCTAATTGGACATTCTGGTGTCGTAGTTTCGTTTGAGTTGTCATCTAAAATCTCAAGTTTCATGTTATGACTGGTTCTCTGAGGATTGAAAGTCGTTTTATTGTGTTTGGAATCGTTAAGCTTATCCAAAATTATTTGATCCCTAACCATATCTCTTAAGGTAAAATTTCCGGCTATCCATTCCTAGTCGCTAATGTCGGAAGTATCTGAAGGAATAAACATTGATTCGTCGGAAACTAAGTAACCTGGGTTAAGGATGGACTTCTTAGCGCGAGAAGACTGTCTTCCAGAGGAATTCTCCAAGAAGTTGGAGACCTTCGTCCTAGTGTTATTATCCAAAGTGGCCACGTCAATCTGTTTCCTGGTCTTTGGTCCATGTTTTCTAGACGTGCGTCTTTTACCCTGATTTGCGCCTACTTCAATATCAAAGTTACAAAAAAGGGAGAATGTTATGTTTCCTCTAAAAGATTGAATTTGAGAACATTTGTTTTTTTTGGTAAAGCAATATCCGATATTCTGATTCTTTTTCCGTCAGATAATTCTACCGTAGATCTTGAAGCGTTTACTATTTTTTGTTTTAGTTCTTTCTAAAGGGGGTTTTTGTTGATTCTTTCTTGTTTTCCGAAGGATGTTACCTTTGGAAGGTTTCTGGAGTGGCATTCTCGGAGAAGAGGGTTTTGAGGGAGATGATTGATCCGATTCATGTCCGTTATCCAGCGGCGATTGGTTTTTCTTAGAGGTTACAATATACTTGTAACCATCCTCAACTCTGTCGTCGGCGTTCCAATCTAGGGCTCCTTCTTTGCATAGTATTGATTTCATTTTGTCTAAAATTCCATTGGAAGATTTACAAGACGCGTGTTGTTTCCCAATTATATTTGGTTTTCTATTGAAACGTAATTTTTGATTGGAGAGCATTTAAATTTTAATTGACATGAAGATCTAAGGTTCCAAATATTTTTTGAGATAGCGTTTAATAATGTATGTTTTTGAAATTCTTTGGCCATTGCTAATAGTTTAATTTCAACAGAATAAACAAGTTTTTTTTTACTAATCCGTTGGAGCGATGATCCCCTACTGTACAAAATATTAGTTTGATCTTATAAGAGTCACAAAATAATTTAAAAACCTGAATTCTAAAACAAGATGCGTGATCTAGTCGAATAGATATGCCGTGGAAGAAAACTTAATTCGAAAAATTTGATAAATATTTTTGTCGATGGAGATGTGGTACTTTTTGCTGATGGAAATTTTGAAAATCGATCGATACATAACAGAATTTATTTGTTCGCGCCCCAGTGATAATACAAAGGAACAGCGCAATCTAAGTTGAATTCTTCATTAGATTCGGATAATTGGATTAATTTAGTAGTTTGTCAATTTGGGATTACACTTTCTATTTTCTTACCCGTCTTGGTGCATTCTGTATAATTTAGTCTGTTTATATGGGGCCACCAGATGTATTGAGCTAATTATTTCATTCCGAACTGGCTGTGGTGTGCTCTGTGTAGGGTCGTCATCATGGCATTTCATAGGATAAAAGGAATCAAAAGTTAACCATAGATGTTTTGCAATGAGTCGGATTCATGTAAATCACGTACAAAACAATGAAAATACGAAGATTTTGAAATAAATGTCTCAACTTTGTTCTGAAGTGCTTTCACGATGGGGCGCAACATTGGATTTCTAAAGAAATTTGGATAACGGAAAGGGATGGATTAATTTTAAAAAAATTTTCCATATCTGCAGTATTGACATTTTTTCAACTAAAGCGGAATTAATTATGCAACAATTAAGAAAAAAAACTAAAAGAATGCAGAAATTGAAAAGGAAATTTTAAAAGGATTATTATAAGAAAAAAAGAGTTTTCTTTTCGACTTAGAAATTGGAAGAGTTCAGTTAATGCTCATAAGTAATTACCTAGTCTGGCGTAATCAAAACTTTCCAAACTTGAACCAAACGCATTGCAGAACTGTCATTGATTATCCGAAGGGTAAATTGCTTTGTTGATTTTGTAAATATTAGCCTCTACGATATCTTTGTCATAAAATGATAGGGCTAAGGCTTTTCCAGCTGGAATTCTTGAAATTAAGTCAGTGAATTCCATATCCTTTCATGGCAAGTGTTTAATAGTGAAATTAAAAAGTAACAATTAATCGACCCATTTTGTTAATCCACTGTGCTACGTTTTTTCCCGTGTTTTGTTGAAAGAGCGGAACGCAGGGTTTTATGGTCTGTAATAACTTCAAAATCTGATCCATATAGGTAGTTCTTATGTTCTACCGGTCAAACAACCCCTAGAATTTCTAATTCGTCGGTAGAATATTTGGATTCGTGTGAGTTTAAAAATCGTGAGGCAAAAAAACGTCCTCCAATCAATCCCGTGGAGTTGTTCCGAAGATTCCACTAGACCGTTAAGTCTATCGGTTTTTTTCTCGTGTTACGTTTTACATGAAATTGGCTTTTTTTGTCAGTCTATCAATTTTCTCAAATGCTTTTGCATGATCTTTGTTCCAATGGAAAATGGATTTCTTATTTAGCAAAGAACGAAGACGGTTCCCCAAGGAAGCTAAATTTGGGACAAAAATGATGTATTGATTTTTGGACCCGAAAAACACAAATAAAAACAAACAGTTCTTTCAATTTCCATAAAATTATCCATGGACAGCTCTCTAAAGGCGTTTTTTCAATCGAAATTAGTGAACCATACATCTCCAATGAAATCTTTTGACATTTGTGCTATATTATCTGCAAGTTCGTGAATTTTCGACATTGGATGTTTTTTGTAGATTCGTTTGTTGATGAGTTTAGAGTCTAGTGCTAACTTGATTGATTTTTTATTTTTACAAGTCGCGACAATTAGGCTAATGAATGGATCTTTGGCACAGTTCTCCAACTTCTTAAAGTATACTTCGGCTTGGAGCAGATTTTGTTCGGTTTTAGCTGAGTCTAGTTGATGAAAGGGGTTACGTCTACCTTTTAGTGGTTCATTGAAACGGGTGAATTTCATCTGGTTATTTGTTTTTCCAACCCGAAGGAACATTTGTTTAAAA